TTTCGAAAGCTTGGTGTAGCACAAAAGCCTTTTATTTGAGCCCTCATCAGGACCGATACCCCAATTAACTAAAATTTGTTGTTCAACTAGCCGGTCACGACTACTGTTTTGTGTATATATATATATATATATATATATATATATATATATATATATATATATATATATATATATATATATATATATATATATATATATATATACAACTTTTTGTTTGTTCTGTCTTTCTTCTTGCTTCGCTTCGTATGGTGGTATGGTACTTTATGACATACCTACTATATATTTATTCAATATTAATTCATTTTAATAAATGTATATATAATTAGGATTGTGCATCTGGGACTGATTGTTTGCTTTAGGATGTCACTCCAAATAATAACATCCTGCTTATTTTATTGTGTCTAAAGGAATAGAGACTGTTATAATATTTAAAATCAATGCTTCACGCTTCAACAAAAAAAATGCTTAAAATATGATGCATTTTTTGTGCTTTTTTTTAATATTTTGAATTATCAGTAAATGACGGCAAAGTTAGTTTTGTATTACATTCTGACTAAATAATTTCAAAGCCCATATATTAGTACCACCTGCTACCAATTAATTTTTTTTGGAAATTTTGGTCATTTTTTTTTCGAATCTTTGTTTTATTGCCCTGGCACTAGATCAATTTTGCGATTTTATTGCTACGGTATGGACCTCGCGGTATAACAATAAGCCTTTGTCGTTGATTGTGTTGTTATCATTCATGTTAGGATATGATATAAATCCCGATGAAAGCAGCCGTATTTGATCAAATGACGCAGAGCAGTGGGTCGTACAATTAGCCATTCAATTAGGCGTCGTCCATATAAAGCAATTAAGCAAACCACAGCCAGTTAAATATGTCTCTTCGGTACACAACAGAGGCGTGACTTGACCGGGGTTTTTGTTCTCACATGTTTATTGTTTAACACGCGATAACTTAAATAGCAGGTGGGAGACACAAATCTGATTGGCAACAAACAATTGTGTGGCTGATTAACTCACAGTCGGATGAGATTATAATTGCCTGCAGCCATTCTATATTCTCCCGCAGCAACATAGCCGAACATGGCGAAATTCTCTAGTTGTCGTAAGTTTACAATTACATCTCAATTTACGAGGAAACTCTTATGCAGTTTCGGTTTGCAATGTGTTCTATTCAAGCCCCATCTCGATAATATGGCGGAACAAATGATTTAACTCCGTACGACTGAAATGAGCTTTCGCGACAAACATCAGAACGTCTTGTTTTTCTGCCTTTTCATTTATAAATATGCGTATTTTCAAGCGATATCTGATTTTTGTTTAAGTGTAAAATAACAACGATTCAATGTTAATTCAATGTTAATTTTAAATATAATTGCTCCGGCAGATGAAGTAAAATATCTTTTCAAAAAAGATTCTTCTAATAAAATAAGAACAAAAACGAACCTACTTATAAATATCTGATGCGATTTCTTAGTGACGTTCACCTTTCCTCTAGTAATACTAAATTAGCTTGAAATGTTGGAAAATACGACGAGCTTATGCTCGAAAACTTTTCATTCGCGCCCATTTTTTTCTAGTTACTTCATTCCCACCAATCAAGTCATTGTCCAAAATCATTATTTTGCGAATACGGACCTGTTATTCCCAAATATTTCATACACGTTCCTAATATTTCATGTTCTATAATAATCGGCAAAAATTAAAAGTCATTGACGTTTAACTCTTAAAGCAATCAAATTGTTTATAAAATCAATTTCGAGAATTAAATTACGTTTCATTACCGGGAGATTTAATTTTTGATATTTCCGGCTACATACATATTTTTTCGTCGTATTTACGCTGAAACGAGGCGAAATATTCAGACTCATCCACGTTAATCGATATTACGGGCCAGCATATTAATTAATAAAATAATTGTTGTTGGCGAGTGAATTTTGTAAATTAATTTGGGAAAATAACTGCAGTCAATTTATTAAGAATAGGCTATTTAAATCGCAGTTATGACTGGTTAAATACAAGGTGTTTCAAAACAAATGCAACAAATTTAAGGGAGTGATTGTGATGATTTTCTACATACCAAATTTAAAGAATAACTTATCAAATTTTGATGGTCAGGTTGGTTTAAAAAGTTTTTTGTTTCTTGTATTTTTTTCACTCCAAATAAAAAACATTGCGTTTCGAAAAAAAAGAATTTCTTTGAAAACAATTGAAGTTGTTCGTTCCAATCTAAAAATGTGAAAAAATATACAGAAATCTGTTTTTATAATATTAATTTTCTTTCAAAATTCTCTGTATAAGAAGACTTATGTTAAAATTTGTGGAGTATTAAGATGGCGATATGATAGTCAATATTTTAAAAATATTTTGGAGAATAGTGTTGCCATATCAAATACAACACGCAAAATTGTAAGTAAGTTTTGCTAGTGTCTATCTAAACCTTATCAGACAGTCCGTAAATAAGCCAGATACTGTTTTCCAACCCATGCATGTACGCCCACCCAAATGTTCGCCACTTAAACCATTAAATAAATGGCGGCTCCAATTTAATCGGTCTTCATCGATATTTCCAGTGAAAAATCGGCCTGACAATTTTTCCGTATGATTTGGTAGCGAAAAAAAAAATTGCCTAATTAATGAAGGCGATTTAAGCGAAATTCTAAATCGCTTTTAAAATATTAACCGACCATTATTTTTTGACATTTTAATTGCCGAGGACACGTCGGCGTCTATCGGACTGCTTTGAATATTTGAAATGTATTTTTCCGCGGTTTTGTGAAATTTTATGCATCACCAACTTTTGCAGTCTATTTATTTGACGTCAGGATAAAGCAATAAATGCGAATCCGTAAACAACAAGTTGAAGGTCGATTCGGCAGACCACGGAAAATTGATCTTTGATGCGATTTCCGGTTGTTCGTTCACGAACGAATATTTATTTATCGACTTTCGGTTACCACCGTCCTCTATAAAAATTCGACACAAAACACCAAAGTTTGTTATTAAAAGAAAAAATTGCCTGATCTATTGCTTACTGAACACCCTTAACAGGCCGCTTTACTTTTTGGAAATTGAAAACTAATTTATCAGATATAAAACTAAAAATATGTCGGAAATTTTAGAAGTAGAAGTAGCTTATTGGACAATTTTTACGATACTTTGGTTTATACAATAAATAACAGAGGACCTGATATTGTACCCTGTGATTGATACTACTCATGTCCGACAAGGAGTCATTATAAGAAACATATCCAAATTTTACGTAACTGTCAATTACACGTTTTGAAATATCTCTGATCCAATAAGCCCATTTTTTTGTGGCAAAATCATGGGTATGGGATAAGGAGTCGAAGACCTTGGACAGATCGCAGTGTGTCGAAATACTATACATCCTTTAGCAAAGCCCTAGAGGACGTTCAGCAGTGCTTTGGTTGTTGATCGACCACTTCTATATAGTATTTTTTTTATCTTCCCCATAACACGCACGCATAACAATTATTGTTGAAAGTTGATGCATATTCGATATTCGTTTAGGTGCCAATAGTATACGGGGTAATTAACGTGTGCTTATTTTTGTACACTTCATAAAGTACATTATTTATGGACAATCGATCTTAAACTACGGTATTTTGGCATAGGGTGAAGCATGTGTTAAGTCATTACAAGTTGCCGACCACAGACTCGCAAATCGATATGGTACTCATAACATTTTCACTATCTCAGGTCTAAGAAAACTGTATTAATAAAATATTAAATTAAGAAAACCTCTACACCGGTCGAAATATATGTAACTTATTTTTGGATGAAATAAAGAATCATTGATCATAAAATTAAGTTTAAAAATATATAGTAAACGAGTTGCTGATCTAGACTAAATTTAATGATACATCCATTTAAGATCCACTTTCTTTTTTTCCAGTCAGTGACCATATGTGGTGGTGAGAAAGATTATCTAGTAAACAATTCTGAAGCTATTTGTTTGGATTTCCATTATTCCATTCTTATTTTATATCGTATATCAACGTTATGGTTGGCATGTATCTCCAAACATTATCAAGATAATAAAGTGCTAACTTAAACGTTGAGATAAAATTTAAAATAAAGGGTATGGAAGTCCAATCAACTCTTTCTTAGATCCTTTAAACACGACGTACTCCAGTCGATAATTATGGATTTATTTATCTCGGGGCCAGTGTTTAGAGATTTACCTACTTAAAATAATATGTATTTCAAATTTAATTAAATATAGGTGACATCGAAGCGTAATTAGGGTTCATATTAGCTGAAAATCCATTTTACAGTCTGTAATTCTTGCGTTTTTTAATAGAATTTGCAGAAGTGTACTCACCGTAATTAAATTTGTTAATTGAATAAAAAAATAACATCTTGTAAATGTCTTCTCGTTGTTGCATCCCAGTCGCGTATGGCATACAGAATATTTACTGCCTACGTATGACGATGTTTTGGCAATAAAACGTAGACTAGGGCACGTAACTTCTGCGAGATATGACGGTTTACCAAGATTTTGACGTACATAAAGTCCATTTGTTAAATCAAAACTTTGACCTATTCAATTCTCCTGAAATTCTTGCTAAACTCGATCGATATTAATTTGAGTTGAGATGATTTCGCGGTATAGATTTTAGATAGATGATGGAGCGTCAAGATTATGTTACCTCGTTATCCACTGTCAATTTAATTAATTAAATCTGTAATTAGAATTATGCGAGTATTCAGTTCTAGGAAATATTATATTACGACGCTTTGCGGTAACCTCAGTCGACTCCTTAGAAGGAGGGGTGGTGTTTATCGTGCATTCCCAGGAGTAGCGACCCCCGTGTTACATTTCCATTCCAGTTTTAATAGGAGAAAAGTTTCCTGGTATTTCGTAGACTCTATTGAGATGAATGTGGAACAGTTCGATTGTTCCGTTTTAATTTTTGCTTCGTGTATTTCCACCTTCGGGCTGTTTTATGCACGCTTTTCTTTTTCAGAATCTTGGGCCGGTTATTACGAAAAAAAGCTTCTGCATAAACTACTAGATAATTACAATGTGCTAGAACGCCCAGTTGCTAACGAGTCAGATCCGCTCCAGTTAAGTTTTGGTATTACGTTGATGCAAATTATTGACGTGGTAAGTTTTTTTTTATCGTATATTTGTTTTTAACTTTTTGTGAAATATTCAGTTTAGACTGTTTTCCGATTCCCGATGCCTATGCGTAAAATTGTGTGGATTAAACATTTTTTATTAGTCCCAAAGTGTGGGAAGGTTAAGGTTAAGGTTGAAAAAATGCTGCTACATATCATTAAGCAAAATTGTTAAATACTTAATTAAATGAACTCTCCAAAGCATTCGACTATTTTGGTTAATCGTCTTGGCCAAAGACCTCATTACCAAATGAATAATAATCATTGGTACCGGGTGGCCAATTAAAAAGGCCACTCGGACGAGTCGGTCGTAAAGGCTGAAAAAACTTATGACTGGAAATTATTTTTAAATTTGTAAAATGGACACGGTTTAAGGTTTGGATAAATTCGATTCTTTTTTGTAGGGTAGATTTTGCAGGGAAAGTGGTGGGAGGTGTCAGAACATTTTCTGACATAAATGTCATTAATTTATATATACTTTTGCTAAAAGAACGAAAATTATCATTTAGTAATGGCTGGTATACTGAAAATATTACATCAAGTTTTAATTTTTTTTACTGATATTATAAGTTAGGAAAGATATATCGAAATTGCGGGTTTCACTAGCGGTTAGACTTATTTGGTTATCTTGTTTTTGTTAAAATAAATTCTATTTGTACTTTCTAGAGGCGATCTGCTCAGCCATTTTCAAGAACTCCAAGTTTTACTAAATGCGTTCAGCCATTCTGAATTTATAAACATTTAATTCTAGCACCCCCATCACTTTCCCTTAAGAAATAATTCAATTAAATTATTTATTGTTTATAAGAAAAAGAAAAAACAAAATAGTAAACAAATGCAAATATACATGCATATGAGGTTTTATTTTTACTCGTTTTTTATCTCGTTTTTAATATGTTTGTATTGAGGGAAGCAAGACGTTTTGAAGTAAGCGGATCCAAATTTTTTAAAGTGGTGGTAACAATAACATCATTTGAAAACTCCACGGTACAGCGATCATTGTGCTAAATTGCGATAAATTGTTTAAAAATTGATTAGATTACATACGGAGTCAAACTGACTGGATTCAATGAGGTAGGCGCAGCCTTTATAGGAGAATTTCAGAAAAATGTTGTCACTCAATCTTAATTGAGCGATAATTCTTAAAGCTTGAGTAAAAATTCCTGTAGTATGTACCTTGAGATCTGCTTGAAACAGTATTGTTTTAAAACATTCTGAGATGGATTGCTCCACCACTCACGCCTCTCTAATCTAACATGTCCAGTTAAATTTGGTGTGCCTTGTGTTATTCATCGGAGATATCTGATTTTGCTTTGGTAAATTAAGTGTGTGCAACCTGTTTCAAGGTACAGCAAAGCACTTGAAGTTTATTTTGGAAGTATGTCAGTATAACTTTTAACCAGACTGGAAGATGCCCGGAAAAAATATCTAATACGGTTTTTTGATATATTTTTTGAATTGCGTCCCAAGAGGAGAGCTTACTCTTTCTCAGCATAGACAGCGCTGCCCCCGGTGCCTGACTCGCATTGGAAACTGTTGTGTCGGCCATTTGTTTAAACAAAGAGAAAGAATGGAATGTCATACCAAAGAATCGAGTTTGTCCCAGCCTTATAACGATGTCCGTTTTAGCTACCTGTACAGGATTTAAATTTCATTCTAGAAAAATAATTTGCAGCATTTTTCATGGTCGTTTTAGTCAAAAGTTTTTTTCCCAAAGGCTTTCCGGCAACTACTATCAATTGGTCACCCAGTAAATTGTAAAACATTCAATTGCAATTTTAACTGGGTTTTCAACCAATTAATGCATCGTACTAAAATTGTACAGGCGGCCACTACCTTATCTCAGAAACCATATGGGATGTAGCCAAAATATCTGCCAATTTCTTCATTCGGAAGCATTTATTGTTTCACGAATAACGGATTTCATAAGAAATTTCGATACATATTAATACAGGGTATACGAAAAATAAGATTAAAAATGAAATTAAAAAACTGCCAAAAACTTTTTTAATGGCAACTACCTGAACGAGGTAATATACCAGGTGTTCCATTTAAAATAGAAAAGTTGATAAACACCCTGTATATACAATATTCAAATAAAAAGAAGATTTGTAATACCTCAATTAACTTTTGTATATAACTTATGGGTCAATCTTTTATAAGGGTGGTTTTTTTTCGATATATAGAACTTTAAGTTGCAATAAAACAACGATGGATTATTCGATTGACATGAATTTTATTTATCCGAAAGATAATCTTGTGGCATTACATTTTAAATATGATTTCTGGCATATGACCGCCACGGCTGGCGCGGATGTAGTCCAATCTCGATGTCCAATTTTCGATGACTTTTTCCAACATTTGTAGCCGTATATCGGCAATAACACGGCGAATGTTGTCTTCCAAATGGTCAAGTCAAAGGTTATCCGCATAGACCAATGACTTTACATAGCCCCACAGAAAGCAGTCTAGCGGTGTTAATTCACAGGTCCAAAACGTGAAATTAGGCGGTCACCAAACGTGTCTTTCAATAAATCGATTGTGGCACGAGCCGTGTGACATGTTGCGTCGTCTTGTTGAAACCACATCTCCTAGACATCATGGTTATTCAATTCAGGAATGAAAGAGTTAGTAATCATAGCTCTATACCGATCACCATTGACTGTAACGTTCTGGCCATCATCGTTTTTGATGAAGTACGGACCAATGATTCCATCAGCACATAAAGCGCACCAAACAGTCAGTTTTTCTGGATGTAACGGTGTTTCGACATACACTTGAGGATTAGCTTCGCTCCAAATGCGGCAGTTGTGTTTGTTGACGTAGCCATTCAACCAGAAGTGCGCTTCATCGCTAAACAAAATTCACTTATGAAAATAGGGAACAACGGCAATCTTGTTTTGGGCCCATTCGACGAATGTACCTACGCCTTACTTGATGATCGTTTGGCTTCAATTCTCGCACGAGTTGGATTTTGTAAGCACGTAAACCAAGATCCTTCCGCAAAATCTTCCATAAAGTGGATGGACACAGATCCAATTCCTGTGCTCGATGGCGGATGGACTCATTCGGGTCTTCCTCAATGCTACGCTCTACAGCAGCAATAGCTCCTTCTGTACGCACCGTACGGCGTCTCTGGGGATGCGAGTTATCAATAAGAGTAAACGTGGTGCGAAAACGTTCCATGGGTAATCGAATTAACTGCTCTGATGGACGATTTCGTCGACGATAAAATGGACGTAGTGCGCGATACGTATTGCGCACATAACCATTATTTTCGAAATAAAATTGTACTTCTTGCAAGCGTTGTTCAGGCGTAAGTCTATTCATGATGAATTGCCAAACCAAACTGAGAATAAATCACTTGACAGCTGTTAAATCGGTCGCCATCTTGAACAGCAATGCCAACTTAAAGTTCTATACATCGAGAAAAAAACACCCATTAGTTTCTGAGATAAGATAGTGTCCTCCCACCCTATACATTAAAACTAAAACGTGTTAAATTTTGAAAAATGTTCATGTAGGAGGCGTAATGGATGCAACCCACATTCCTATGAAAGGTGTCCAAAGATTTCGTTACAAAAACTTACTTTATAGTGGCGTTAAGATAATAGAAAAAGTTTACATATAATTTTTCCTATTAATTTTTTTTTATCCACTCGGAGAAATTTGACTTGCTCTACCATACACAGCTGCACATATTTTATATACTGTCTATGATAGAAACCCACCAATTGATTATTTAAAAATAACGTAAACCATTGATTTTGTTAGGTGTTATTCTTCTAAAATCTCGATGAAGCGGCACGTTCTAAATAACCATTCAACGCTAAATTTGGCGAATTAACAAACGGCTATCCGGAGATAAATTTGTCCTTCGCCGGTCATATTTTCCGCAGTGTAAGTTAAGCAAACTTCCGACCTCAAACTAATTAAGATAAAAGATTAAACTTTCCGAATATTAAGTTTCATTAAAATGTGCATTCCAGTGGGTTCCGGTTTAAAGTTTTAGTTTGCAGTTTAATTATTATCTTACCTCTACAAATTCATTAAATGGAATCTGTCCAGAAAACGGTGATGGCTGTTTAAATTATGTCCACTGACTGACCTGGTAACTTCGACATTTTGGTGAACTACTTTAAATAGGAATTGTATGGCAAATGAAGAAATCAATGTTTTATGTACATTATTTTCAAGAAATATAACAAAGTAGAAAAAAATATATCAAAGAAAGTAAAAAGAATATCTAAAATAAGTAACACACTCAGTGAGAAAGATAAGATGGATTAAAAGGTCTGTGTAAAATATCTCCAATATCTCCAATAGTAAGACTTCATAAATTATTAGGCACCTTGTATTCAATGGGGTGGGTTTGAGAGATAATAAAACTAAAATAAATTGGAGTTAGAATATCGTATGCATATGCAAAATCATGTAACGTGTATAGTTTGAGCGTCGCCCAGGTAAAGCAAATTTTGTTATGGAATATATTATAAAAGTTTATAATAGTTTGGACAGATTGTGGACTAAACAGTTGACCTATTTGGCCGCGACTCTGGTTTAATTATGCGTCGCGTTAGATTTTCGAATTATCCTCAGGCGTTGGGCAATTTATTTGTTGACTTCCCGATGGATGTGAAAAGGGATGAATTTTTATCGTCACATACACGAGGATCTTCCGCGTCAATTACCGAAAAAGTAAAAGAGTTTTCAGTGAGTTTTATCGATGCGTCGCTTGAAAAAAAGGCTACCTGTAATAAGCGACATAAAGGTCAGAGTTCAAAGCAATATAACGCATTCTCTGAAGAAAATTCTTCAATTTTTAATAACAATAATAATAAAGAACGGTTTGCATATGCAATATCGACTTAAGTCGTTCATTAAATGCAAAAATTCGTAATATCCGCTATAAAATTACACGCCCCATAGATGTGACTTTCAGTTGAGTTTAATACTTTTATGTTTTGTTTCAGGATGAGAAGAATCAACTGCTTATTACAAATATTTGGTTAAAATTGGTAAGTAGCTTTTGTGTGTTTGTGGCAATAAATTCCACACAATCATTTTATCATTTAACTAGAAGAATCAGTGTTATCTGCGTAAATAGTTCAGAGTTTGTAGTGAGGAAATATTTTTTAATCGAATCTGCTAGACCAGTTTACTGTTCATTTGTTAGATCCATTCTATCTAGAACACAGCAATGTGATCTTCTTATTTTCCTTGAAAAGATTTTGCAGATACTATACATTTAGGGACTGTATTAGAATATGAGCTCATAATTATACAGAAACGGAACAACCATCTTTATTTCTTAATTATGAAATGATCAAAATCAATCGACCTTTTGAACCAAGCGGGTCTTAAAGGTCCATATCCTGGGCTTCCAGTTAAATGAAGCTTTTTCAAAATATCATATGGTGCTATAATTCCTATACATAGACATCGAAGTGTCTTCAATAGTTGTAATATTTGTTATATGCCTTTACAAAAGTTAAAGTTAATTATGCACAAGTCAATCTCTCATTTTCTTGCTACGGTTAAACTGTTTTATTATAAAAGCGACGGCATGGAAAATTTTTGACCATATTTTTGTAGAAAAATAGCCGCGTTAATAATAAAACTTAAAAAATACAGTTAAAAGCGCCACCTCGCAATTCTTTCTCTTAAATAAGTCTGAGACATTTTCCGATGTATAAATACTTTTTAAATAAAGAAAGAGGGAAGTTTTAACGTAGTTTTCTCAAGAAATAAAAGTGTGCGAGATATATATCAAACTAAAAGTAACGGGTTTTTAGAGACCTAGATTTAAGATCGTTATTCACAATTTTCAGTCAGCGCCATACGCTGCAACTGCCATAAATAATATAAGATACGACGGAATTACAACTCTCGGAGAAAACGGGGCAAAATTTTTCAATGAAACACGCCGAAATTACTGCAACAGACACACAATAGGCAATCGAATAAGTTACACACTTACAACTACCCTCGCAAATCAACTTTATAGGAACCGCTGTGACTGTCAGCCATCTACAATTTCGAAACAAAAATATATAACCTTATAAGTCGTGTTACAGCTTTGCGCGCCAATTTTATTTATATATTAATCCTTAACGTGGTGTGTTAACAGGAATGGAATGATGTTAACTTAAGGTGGAATTCTTCGGAATACGGAGGTGTGAAGGATCTTAGAATTCCACCTCATCGACTATGGAAACCGGACGTGCTCATGTACAACAGGTTAGTCAAATCGAATAAGTAATACTTAAAAAATGCTTCGACAGGCTGTGGAACTTAAATACACTTTTGCTGCATTTTTCCTGAAACAGGTTCGATTGCTCTGCCGGGGGCGGGATTTTATTGCTTCACGGATGACCGAATCCCAAATAGAAACCGGTATTGCGGTTCGTTTTTTTTAGGTTGTTTCATGATTTCAATAGACTCACGAATTTTCTTTTCAAAATTCACAAAACAACCTTACTTCTTCGACCTATCGTTAGCATAATCGGTCCGCCAACTTATTTTTTAGCAAAAAAGTTCCAGTTTTCTGCTTAATTATTCTCACCTGAACTATATTAAGTTAGATTTAGACAACATTCTAATTAGTTTTGACGTTAAATCTTTCTTTATTAAAGATATCTAGAGACCTATCTGCAACCTTCTCTATTTAGTCAAAAAATGTCTCTCTGAAACATATTTCTGTTGTAACGAATAAATTTATGAGCAGATATGGGTACTCCACTTTTCTGTCTTCGCGAATATTTTACGGAATATTTTCAGAAACTAGAAGTGGGTAAGTTCCATGATTAATTTCTTAGTTTTCAGAGCAATATAATTGCCTCAACTCGAATCTCTTTACCAGGAAATAACACGTCTCAGCTCAACTTTTCTTCCAAGCAATTTATTTCCATAATCAAGATATATACTACACAAAGTAAGTCAGTAATTGACCCTCCGTTGGCCAAATATGAAAAACTAGATTCCCTATTGGTTCTAAACCCTCCCAACATCTGCAATCAGTGAAAGATAATTTTTATTCGATAAGGCCAAAACGCCTTGTTATTTTCGAAAATCGATGAAAAATAAAAAATCGCGCAAAAAACATCATTTTTCAAAAACTGTTTACAAGACCAAAAAATTCTTGAACCAGAAGAAGCAGAAGATACGGCTCTATAAACTTTTATTCATGACAATTTTTAAAAAAATATACAGGGTGCGGCGCAAATTCAAAAAAACTGAAAAATGGGTCCCCCTATTATTGAAAATTGGTTATAACTGAAAGACTATTATTCAAATCGCACTTTCTTTTATATTGCGATATAGCCCGCATAGATAGCAAAAACTTTTGTATTTAAAGTTTTCACCTATTGTTCCCGATATTCCCTGCTAAATGAAAAAGGTGTTAAGTGTCCTAAATATGCAGATATCAACTTCAAATTTATCCGAGAAGTAAAAATCCGTGTCCACATTTAATCTGTAGAAATTGATCGCAATCAAAGATTACCAAGTATTTTTTAAATATATTTGAATTTTTTTTTTTTTGGTAATTTTAGTTTCCAGAAAAATGTGTTTTCCTCCATAATCGTTCATCCGATTGGCAAAATTCTTTAACCGGCGGACGCAGAAGATCCAGTGCAAAAACATTTATTTCAGGCATTTTTTCGATTTTATACAGGGTTCTCAAATTATAGGTAAAAATAGAAAATTGTTTTTTTATAGAGTAAATTATTAGCCGCAAATCAAAAATCGTAAAAATATGGCTATTTGGTTCAAACGGTGTCATAGGCCGCATCAAGAAGTACAATTTTTGAATTTGCGGTTTTCGTCTATCACATAAGCTGCTCGGGATATTTGAAAAAATGCATATTGAAATCGCTATTTCTTGGGCTGTCAAGACGCCATGACGTCATTGATTATTACGCCGCACTGCATGGTTTCAGAAAAAACTTATTTTCTCGAAAACCATTTACTATTTTCAAAAAATTCTTTAACCAGGGCGCGAGGAAAACCCAGGGCTATAGCAATTAATGTATCATATACAGGGTGTGTCGTTTATGGGTTTTTACCCATAAATATCCTAAAAATTTCCGTTTGTGTGGCTAAATTATTGGCGATAAATGAAAAACCGTTTAAGATGGGATAATTTTATTTGAACAGTATCGTGACCGTTTCAGCTTTCGTCAATTATACTGGGCGCGAAATATTTGAAAAAATATCATTCGACAACGCTATTATTTGTGCAAATTTTGATTTTTACCGATGTTAGCTGTAACTTTGAAGTTCGACGAGATGTGAAGCACATTTTATACAGGGTGCATGCACAATTAAATTACATCGATTTTTCGAAAGTGGTCATAGTGGTCCGCAGGAGCACGATACAAAAACAATGCGTCCCTTTACCACACGAAATGGCGAAGTTCTTTCCTTTTATAATAAAAAGCGACAATTTTTAGAAAGCAATCTTGTTTCATCCATATCTATCATGGTGTACCCAAATTATCAAATATCTTATACAATAACATAAACTGCAATACAGGCTCGAATTTACCTTCCATTCGTCCCACCCTTAACAAGTATCAAAAGGCTTGCAGAACAATTGGCCCTCAGACCGAGCTCTGAAGAAGTCAGCACTATGTTTGGCGAAACGTCACATTTAATACCCGCTGCCCAAGAAATCCAGTACAGTATGTCGCAAAGTATATGATTCTGACGGCAATTATCCCGAATTCAATAAAACACACGACTAGTCGTTATTGTAGAACAGAATCAGGGACCGACATTCAAGGTGTTTTAAAAATATAAAGATTAATTATTATCTTACGTTTATTTCGGTATAATATCACATTACTACTAATACGAAATGCAATGACACTCAATATATACAAAGTATTAATAATTACGTACGTTTTTAATCAAAATCTAATTCTGTTTTACTCTCGTAGTCGACAATAAGGTATTTTGTATGCAAATGTAAGAATCTTGAATTTTTGAAATATATTATTATATAGTATATTATATTATTATATTATTAATTAAATTTATTACATATTTTCTGCTCTCAAATATGATTTTACGGACACACCATACCTAAGACATCAGTAATCATCGTACTCATTCGAAATGTAAAAATAATTGCAAAAAAAAAGCTTGCGCGGCGCATTAAGGATTAAATCAATCTATTTCGAATATAGAGTAAATTATTAGCCGCAAATCAAAAATCGTAAAAATATGGCTATTTGGTTCAAACGGTGTCATAGGCCGCATCAAGAAGTACAATTTTTGAATTTGCGGTTTTCGTCTATCACATAAGCTGCTCGGGATATTTGAAAAAATGCATATTGAAATCGCTATTTCTTGGGCTGTCAAGACGCCATGACGTCATTGATTATTACGCCGCACTGCATGGTTTCAGAAAAAACTTATTTTCTCGAAAACCATTTACTATTTTCAAAAAATTCTTTAACCAGGGCGCGAGGAAAACCCAGGGCTATAGCAATTAATGTATCATATACAGGGTGTGTCGTTTATGGGTTTTTACCCATAAATATCCTAAAAATTTCCGTTTGTGTGGCTAAATTATTGGCGATAAATGAAAAACCGTTTAAGATGGGATAATTTTATTTGAACAGTATCGTGACCGTTTCAGCTTTCGTCAATTATACTGGGCGCGAAATATTTGAAAAAATATCATTCGACAACGCTATTATTTGTGCAAATTTTGATTTTTACCGATGTTAGCTGTAACTTTGAAGTTCGACGAGATGTGAAGCACATTTTATACAGGGTGCATGCACAATTAAATTACATCGATTTTTCGAAAGTGGTCATAGTGGTCCGCAGGAGCACGATACAAAAACAATGCGTCCCTTTACCACACGAAATGGCGAAGTTCTTTCCTTTTATAATAAAAAGCGACAATTTTTAGAAAGCAATCTTGTTTCATCCATATCTATCATGGTGTACCCAAATTATCAAATATCTTATACAATAACATAAACTGCAATACAGGCTCGAATTTACCTTCCATTCGTCCCACCCTTAACAAGTATCAAAAGGCTTGCAGAACAATTGGCCCTCAGACCGAGCTCTGAAGAAGTCAGCACTATGTTTGGCGAAACGTCACATTTAATACCCGCTGCCCAAGAAATCCAGTACAGTATGTCGCAAAGTATATGATTCTGACGGCAATTATCCCGAATTCAATAAAACACACGACTAGTCGTTATTGTAGAACAGAATCAGGGACCGACATTCAAGGTGTTTTAAAAATATAAAGATTAATTATTATCTTACGTTTATTTCGGTATAATATCACATTACTACTAATACGAAATGCAATGACACTCAATATATACAAAGTATTAATAATTACGTACGTTTTTAATCAAAATCTAATTCTGTTTTACTCTCGTAGTCGACAATAAGGTATTTTGTATGCAAATGTAAGAATCTTGAATTTTTGAAATATATTATTATATAGTATATTATATTATTATATTATTAATTAAATTTATTACATATTTTCTGCTCTCAAATATGATTTTACGGACACACCATACCTAAGACATCAGTAATCATCGTACTCATTCGAAATGTAAAAATAATTGCAAAAAAAAAGCTTGCGCGGCGCATTAAGGATTAAATCAATCTATTTCGAATTACGGAAAGTCCATTACAAAACTATTATGCGGATATTAATAACGCGCCCCGTTTCAAAAAATCGTTAATCAAAAAGGCATCGATGACGCAATAATTTTTAAACTCGAAATCGAAAAATCGTAGCCCGGAACTCGTAAATTTTTTATGGATGTTTCGATTTGTAATAAAAGAGGGATCAACACGAGAAACCCATCGATATGTTGATATATGGGCGTTCAATTTTGACGCGTACATGTAAGCCTAGCGCGGTGTAACGACAGAATAAAACCATAGTTCGCGGTAGAGCGAGAAGTTGGTCGTGGGATAATTATTTTTTAAAAGGTCAAACCTTATCGAATTCGAAAAAAAAATAGCTCTAAAGACATTAGCGTCCCCTAAATTCCGAAAATATTGTTTCAGTGCTGACGAGGGTTTTGACGGGACATACCCGACCAACGTTGTTGTTCGTAACAATGGCAGTTGTTTCTACTTGCCTCCGGGAATATTTAAAAGCACATGTAAAATCGATATCACCTGGTTTCCGTTCGACGATCAACGTTGCGAGATGAAATTTGGCAGCTGGACTTACGACGGCTTACAGGTGAGTCTACTAATCTACCAAATCCAGAGTTGGATTCCAAACTAGTTCCAGAATTTCATACGTAAAGATTATTCGACAATTTTATTTCGCAATAGACGATACTATTCTCTTTTGTTGTTCAATTCTAAACCACGACGTTTACCCTGCTGCCGTGATTTCCTTTAGCTATATATTTGGTGACAAGTTGCAAGGTTTATAAGCATACAGATTGAAGTGCGTATCCGCAAGTAAATTTTTGGTTGCCGCATTCGCGAGTCGTATTTATGGGGTTTTATCTAGTTGCTCGCATTATTTTTGGTAAATATTGAGTTTTCTGAAATTCAATGCGAATTTTCTTAATGCTTCAATTTTTTTCTTGAAAATTGATGTATGCGTCCATGGATTAAGGCAAAATGTGATTTCAGCTTTTTTGAACTTCATTACAAAAATAACCTTGGCACTTGGTATAAATATTTGCCTATATGAGCTTAATTAATCTATTCCGAAAATCAAATAAAGCTAGTCCAAAATTAAGAGACAGATAGTTAGTTATCATCATCATTTAATAGCATTTTTTGAAGTATTATAAATAAAAGGTATATACATTTGCGTGTGATATAAATAAATCGTAAATATTTTTCCTGCATTGGCAAAACTCACTTCTGGTTTTATGGTTTCCACTTAATAAATATGCGGGCCGATATTAGTGATGCAAAATTAAAAGAATATGGCATTTTGATAATGAAAGACTGTTTCTGTAGCTTCTGCGCCAAGTGTATTCTATGGAAGAAAAATGTAAGTGTAAACAGCAAGAGAAGTCAATAAATTTTCGCAATTTTGAAAATTTGGTGTAAATATTAGTTATGACCGTTAAAATTATGCAGTATTAGAAAAATCACATCGAATTTTATAAAAAACGACTTGAATGTAGAATTTATGACATGTGATAATAATGGGTGTTTTTTTTCGATGTATAGAACTTTGCGTTGGCATTACTGTTTAAGATGGCGACCGATTTAACAGCTGTCAAGTGATTTATTCTCAGTTTGGTTTGGCAATTCATCATGAATAGACTCACGCCCGAACAACGCTTGCAAATAGTGCAATTTTATTTCGAAAATAATGGTTCTGTGCGGAATACGTATCGCGCACTACGTCGATTTTATCATCGACAAAATCGTCCATCAGAGCAGTTAATTCGATTAACCATGGAACGTTTTCGCACCACGTTAACTCTTATTCATAACTCGCATCCCCAGAGACGCCGTACGGTGCGTACAGAAGAAGCTATTGCTGCTGTAGAGCGTAGCATTGAGGAAGACCCGAATGAGTCCATCTGCCATCGAGCACAGGAATTGGATCTATGTCCATCCACTTTATGGAAGATTTTGCGGAAGGATCTTGGTTTTCGTGCTTACAAAATCCAACTCGTGCAAGAATTGAAGCCAAACGATCGTCAATGGGCCCAAAACGAGATGTGGTTTCAACAAGACGACGCAACATGTCACACGGCTCGTGCCACAATCGATTTATTGAAAGACACGTTTGGTGACCGCCTAATTTCACGTTTTGGACCTGTGAATGGGCTTCCAAAATCTTGTGATTTAACACCGCTAGACTACTGTCTGTGGGGCTATGTAAAGTCATTGGTCTATGCGGATAAGCCACAAACGCTTGACCATTTGGAAGACAACATTCGCCGTGTTATTGCCGATATACGGCCACAAATGTTGGAAAAAGTCATCGAAAATTGGACGTCCAGATTGGACTACATCCGCTCCAGCCGTTTATTTATCTTTCGGATAAATAAAATTCATATCAATCGAATAATCCATCGTTGTTTTATTGCAACTACATCGAAAGAAAACACCCATTTGTTTGTAGCTTTTATCAGGAAATTAGTACCGAAACGAAAGGTGTGCGTGCACGTCTTCAGTAAATCGAAATTAACAAACTTTTCGGGGAACCAAGCTAAATTTAATTTATCCATTGTTGCCCCAGGTTGGGAGAAACGACGAATATAAACTAATTAGCACATTAAAAATGCCCTACAAACACTCCTTTCCCATTGAATTCTGTTTTTGTTGTTTAAGCTGTTTATCATTCTGAAGTTTTCGCTACGTCGAGCACTGCGCAAAAATGAAATGCAATTTGCAAGGCATGAATCAGTTTTCCTTGGCGCGGAACTTCATTTTTTGCCGATGAGGATTTTTGAATTTCAAACTACTTTAAAACTAGCTACCACATCCAATGTTTTGCCTAGCTGTTTGGATTTACTTTCCGGAAACTTTTCTGCCATTTATCGCGTAATTTTGATTGTTAATCCGCGAAATATGCGCGCGAACTTGCATATGACGTTTCGTTCCAGCTCGATTTACAACTTCAGGACGATGGGGGTGGCGACATAAGCAATTTTATAACCAACGGCGAATGGGATTTATTGGGTGAGTGACAGTTTACTCTTAAAATTATTCGAGCTCAAGGTAAATTGTTATGAATTTAGGGTACTCCAAAACACTTAAAATGAAATTTTCCCTCTAATATTTTCTAGAGCACTTTCAAAAATTATTCAAAATGAGAAGGTATTAATCTAAGCTAACCAGAACTCACTAAAACTACAGAAATCCCTAAAAGTGTTTTTGCTCTTTCAATGGTATTTATGATCAAAAAATCATCTTTTTAGTGGTATTTGGATATGCTAAAATTCGGACAGTCCAATAGATTGTAAGTTAAAAAGACGATAAATAACTTTTAAATTTTTTGAAGTACTCCTAATGTAATGGTAATTTTTATCTTTTAAAAAAGCTTTTCTAATAATACAAACCGGATATCAACAGTGATGAATTTTCAAATATATACCGACTTGCCCCAATCGATATAAAACGCGCTGTTTATATTTACGAACATTCATACCTTGACGGGACTCGGTAAATATTAAATATTCTGAGAGAAAACTTCGATCTTGCCGTTTCGGAATTATTTTAATCATCTAAATAAATAAAGGTTGTAAAGGAATTTTCCAATTCATACTTCGCGAAGTTTCGAAGTCAAGCTTCAGCTTTAGTTCAACTAAAATTTATAAAGTTTCCCGTGAACTTTATTGCGGTGGAAAGCAATAAACTGTCGTCAGTATTAACTTTAACTGACAAGGCCTTAAGTTACCTGTGCGCTTTATAGCTGTAGTTCGTGTCACCGAAGAAAATTATTAATAATACTTTCCTTAAAATGTGACCTTAGATGTTTTTCTTGACAATTTTAGTTGCGATAACTAAAACAACAACCGCATTTCACGACAGAGCTCATTTTTTTCTGCTTCGTGTGTTATAAAGGTATAGGATTTCCTTGTAGTCTAAGATCCGGTTTAAGAACAACTCCCCTCATTCTTTTCCGTGATAAATTTTTTTTTTAATAATAAATTATGATTAATCAAATGAGAAATGATTGACATCTTAGCAAGACTATTTTTAATTAAAAATTAATTAATTTCATTTTCTTTCTTGGTTACCGTCAGTATTTTTCTTTATAAATGTAGTCTCAATCAAAGAAAAAAAGTATATAGAAAACGCCATACAATGTTTGACTACCTTTTTTTAGGCAACAATACGTGTCAACCAGGTGTAAATAGGTAATCGGATGTAGTGATTTACCCTCATTCTTCTTCTTTAAAAATTAAATATGTAAATATACCGAATTTTATTACGAAACCAACGATATATGATTGACTTTCCAAATCGTGGCAATGATTGACACTATCTAAAGTTTCAATAATTTCATGTAAAAATAAAGTGTGACTGCGAGCGCTATATTTTTTTTCATGTACGGCAGAGAAGGATGTACAATAACAGCTGCTCATAAGACTCTTGCCAGAAAGAGAAAGGCGTGTGTTCAGTTCTATGTGTATAAGACAAAGATAAATATATTCCCCTACTTAAAATTTTTTAGGAGTCTTACCGCATTTGCAATGTATAATAGTATATATCTATATATATTTATAAATACGGTTTTGTTTAGCAACGTGGTCTACTCCGTCTATTATTTATTAGAGTATTATTGTTTTGATAATTTTCAATAAACAAAAATGAAGAAGTGTTTTGTATGTGGTAAAACATCACAAATTATTGATTTTGACAATAATGTTTTTAGAAATTGTTATTTAAAAATACTATTTCGAAAAGAACGTGGATTTAAGCACGCTGATGTTGTTTTAACCGAAGAATCTATGGGTAAATTAGGTTATCACAATCACAATGGTGACAGCATTACGGACAAAATACAGTGAAGAGAACTCCAAATTTGTTCAAAATTATGAAGTAAGTAAAAATTTTTATAGTTTATGTATTTTCTTTAACCAAAATAATTTAAGTAAGTATAAAAAATCAAAAATAATCACGAAGAAGCGGATACGCGAATTATGTATCATGCTGGGCAACACGCATAAAGTTCCAGAAGTATAAATTTGGTTTGCGGGCTCAGCAAGTAAAACTAAAAATAAAAAAACATATTAACTGCGTTAATTGTACTGAATTAGCAACCAACAAAGTTAGGGGTCTCATTATGCCAAAGTTTGCCGGCGTTCCACGCTTTTACAGGCTGTGACTATACTGCAGCTTTTTACTAATAATGCTATAACGTGGTAAGGCACCAAAATAATTTTAAGTGGGGGAATATATTTATCTTTGTCTTATACACAGAGAACTGAACACATGCCTTTCTCTTTCTGGCAAGGGTCTTATGAGCAGCTGTGCTTCTCTGCCGTACATGAAAAAAGGTATAGCGCTCGCAGTCGCACTTTATTTTTACGTGAAATTATTGAAACTTTAGAACGTGTCAATCATTAGCTTTGCCACGATTTGGAAAGTCAATCATATATTGTTGGGTTCGTGATAAAATTCTATATATTTACATATTCAATTTTTAAAGAAAAAGAATGAGGGTAAATCACTACATCCGATTACCTGTTGACACCTGGTTGACACTTATTGTTGCCTAAAAAAAGGTAGTCAAACATTGTATGGCATTTTCTATATACTTTTTTCTTTGATTGAGACCAAATTTATAAAGAAAAATACTGACGGTAACCAAGAAAAAAAATGAAATTAATTAATTTTTAATTAAAAATAGTCTTGCTAAGTCTAAGCTAAGCTGTCAATCATTTCTCATTTGATTAATCAACAAGTTTTGTTATTAAAAAAAAGTTATTTTATCTCGGAAAAGAATGAGGGGTGTTGTTCTTAAACCGGATCCTCTACTATTGATTTTCTGAAAACATTATCATTCGTATAAATTTGGAGCGTCTATGAAATGGCAAGCAATGTCAGGAAAGTCATGCAAAATCTTTTTAACGGTAATGTTTACGTTTCCGTTTTATTGTTGAAGTCTGGTGGATGCACTTTTTTATTTCAATAATTTTCTATATTGATTAATAATCTTATTTCTTAAAAAATGTTGTAACTTTCAAATTTGGCACTGCAATAAGTTGATTTTCACTCTTTTTATAATTTTTTTTATAAAAAACAAAAAATGAATAAAAATACTATTTTACTGTTAAACTATCGTCTACTGTATATTACGTCCTGAGCCAGTAAATATTCGAGTTCCCTTTAACAGCTGATTTGCATGTATATTTGTTCTCACTTATGAAGTGTACTCCCAATGAATGTCAACATTTAATGGAGTGATTCAAAGAAGAAAAATTCATAATTTCTTAACTTTTGAAAATAAGTTTCTTTTTGTTTTCATTAATCCAACCTGCATATTTTAGTGATAGGCCACCATTTATTATTATTATACGGCTATTCAGACGATTTGATTTTATTATAGATGGATAAAAAAATTGATTTATTTTTCTTTTGCTTCCTGTATCAGAAACTCTAATATCGAAGTTTTCGTCTTAAAACCATTATAAAGCGGTTTTAGACACGTAACATTTGCTTTGGTTAGCTAATGTATGGCTCTGCTTTTTTTACATTAAATGCCTAAGGAAATGATTATGTGCCTAAAATTATGCCGTTATGCCATTGAAACTTCAAGCCGTGCAAATATCGAAGTCTTTAATAAAGGAACAAACCGTTACGCGTATCGCCCGGTATATTACATTCCTTAAAATATAAAAAGCACTTGTCCTCTTAGCGGCGGTCTTTTACGAAGTTAGGCGTTTAGTATCAAGTGCTATAAGGTTTTCCACTTAACTTTCTAAAGTTATCAATCACTTTGGAGGAAGTACAGACTTGTTTGCCGCGGTTCACCTCGAAATAGTTTTCCGAACAATTTTTAAAACGTTTTTCCGCGAGTTTGCGGACGACATATACTCGACTTAACGTTTATTACGGGACATTACAAGTTTCGTTTGTTTTTGTCAACAGGTGTTCCGGGCAAAAGGAACGAGCTTTATTACAATTGCTGCCCGGAGCCTTACATTGACATCACATTTACCATCATTATCCGCCGACGAACCCTTTATTATTTTTTTAATCTCATCGTGCCGTGCGTTTTGATCGCTTCGATGGCGGTACTGGGTTTCACCTTGCCCCCCGATTCCGGGGAGAAATTGTCATTGGGGGTGACGATTTTACTATCGCTGACCGTTTTCCTCAATATGGTGGCCGAGACGATGCCGGCTACCTCTGAAGCCGTCCCTTTGCTAGGGACTTATTTTAACTGCATAATGTTCATGGTCGCGTCATCTGTAGTTTCTACCATTCTTATTCTCAATTATCACCATCGAAACGCCGACACCCACGAGATGTCTACTTGGGTAAGTGTTTTTATACCAATCTTCATTTATATTTAGAGTATAGAGACTCATTAATCTAGACACACTTAACCTCCTAACATATTATCTTTACAGAGTGTCCCAATGGCATGTGCTATTGAGCAACACGCGACGAAATAACGTGGTGCTAAATTTTAGTCCTTAAAAAGAAGATAATGAAATTTCATTTTCAAATTTTTACGATAATTTTACCCTGGAAAGTTTAGGGTCTTTTAAAGTCACACTAGATCAACATTACAGCGATTTACTCGTTATAAAACTCGAAAATGAAGCTTTACTTTAAGCGACAAACATTTGCCACCACATTTACTGAATCATGTGTTGGCGTTGAGGAGTGGCATATTCGAGTATTTCGGTACAATTAGATAGAAGATAATTTATGTATTTCAGCCAGCTTTGAACTGTCACTGTCACTACAAAGAATGACTTCAATAAACTAGTTCTAATTATTGAAACATATTTAGTAATGTAAAATGTACATTAAATACGATTGTGATTGCGATTGGAAAAACGAACAGTTTTTTGAGAGAAATAAGTAATTTTTTAAATTTTGAATATATTCGGTTAATTTTTTTTCTTCTAAAGGACCAGATTTTTTATACAACTCATTCGCGTTTGTTTCTCTTTTGGCAGGGTTAATTTGTATTTTGTTCAAATATTATCGGGTACTATAGATATATTTCACGAAAACTAAAATATTCAAACCTTATACACGCATACATTGGCGTTCGGACTAGTGAGTCGCCACCCAAATATTTATTTTATTTTGTTCAAGTTGTGTTGACCTTTATTAGGAATATTATTTGTACACGCGTATTATTATTCCCTTTCGAATAATAAACCGGGAGTTTTAATTTTGGTTCTACTAGGGATTTAAATTTTTTGCCCGGCTTTATTTATTGTAAGAATGAAACATTTTGTTCGATTGTTGGCATTTCGCATACATTTTAAATTTTTGCCTAAAGGGTTGAATATTAAATTATTCTGTGTAATTATGTATTTATAATTTCGACCACATTATGTGCCAGATTGTTAATTCGCGACCTATAATTGCTTAATAGTTTCAAATGAAAGAAACTTGGTTTCTCAATAAAAATGTACTGATTGATTAAAACGAAAGCTTCTTTAAAATGCTGGTAAATATTTATAAATTCATTTCCACGACGAAGGAAGAAGATAAAAGTTTTAACTTTAAGATTTTCCTCTCGAATTTCTTCGTATTTCCACTGTATTTTTCAAGCTGCAATTATTTATTTCGATTTTTATTTATCTATTATTTCGAACTGCTTGGTTTAATTGGTTAATGGAAAAGTTATACTAATATATTTATACCTATACCTATAATATTTATATTTTAATCGCTATCGTTCCAGATCCGAGTAGTTTTCTTAAAATGGCTACCCAAAATTCTGGGTATGCATAGACCTAGTCCGAACAACAGTGACCCGTATTTATCGCCACCACGGCCTTCATCAGTAACTGCAGAAAGGAAGACAATAAATTTCCCTGACGTTGAACTCAAGGAAAGATCATCCAAGAGTCTACTCGCCAACGTTCTAGATATCGACGACGATTTCAGGCATAATTATCGTGGAGGAGGAACGCCAACGCCTCTACCAGCCACATTCTTTCGAACAGTTTACAGGTTCGTATTCAATGTCGTATATCCTGACGCATGTAAAATCCCCCTTATTGCATGCATATTTTGATGAATTTGGATGTAATACCAACCTGCAAGGTAGAAAAAAAAAACATGTCCTATGTTATAATTTGTATTTGTTTGTCCAATTCCGCACGAACAAACGTTTTTTCTAATAAAAAATCTTTCAACATAACTTTAAGCATTTACATTATTTGGTATGTTATTATGTATGTTTTTTGTTTAAATTATCACGATTTGTTGAATCGAATTAGGTTTTAGAGATTTCAATTGTCTAGAGCAATTTAAAACACCTTTTGCGAAAGCTGTCAACAATACAGTCAAATTGATTTCTAAACAAGATAAAAAATATCGATCCCCTACCATTGAGTATTTTCTGGCCTAAACTACTGCTATTTTGTTATTTAAATAATATTTAATTAGCATATTTTACTTTTAATTTTTTTCACTTAGTATAATTCCTGTAATTGTCAGTAAATTTTTTGAATTACGTTCACCATTTTGATTGTTATTATTTAAGGGGCTGACAAAAATCTGGCTGAAATAAATTCTTTATTTCCGATAAAAAATAACGTAATTTTTTTTTATCTATGGTGTTTACTTCAGACTTAGCATTCACAACAACCTTTTTTTTACGGGACAGGGTTGTCAGTCCTGTTTCCAAGACTCCTCCTTCCGAGCGTGGGACCGGCAGTGACACTGTCAAGCTATTTTCTATATTTAACAGCAATGATTAAACTCGTTGAAAATCGTCGACTAAAATATCAAAAGTACCGAATTTTGTGTTCCCATTCGAATTTTTAGTGTAAAATTTCGGTGCCTTCCTACTAAATGAACTTGAAATAAAAAAAAACGACACTTTGGGATTTAAAATAAAAAAATATATACAGGGTATTTCAAAAAATGCTCTATTAATTTCTGCAGCAAATAAAACAGGAAAAAATAAGTCCATTTGGTTAAGAAAAAACGGCTCTAGAAAATGGGCCTCAAAAAATCGTGCTTTGGACGTTCTAGCAAGTAATTCTGACCGAACTACTAAATTGTTTAGGTAATTTTTATTACTTGGGAATATTTTAATAATTATTGTTTTAAAACGACTATGAAAAAACATATTGCTAATTATTTTGAACTTGCATTTTGTCAGAAGATACTTTTATGTTTCTCACTCGGCAAGTAGTAGATACAATGTAAGCATCTAAGACTGTCTGCTGTATTTCCTTTTTTATTCGTTGTCTTAAAAATTTGTTCTTGATTCATAATTTAATTACTACAGGGCTCAGAACGATGATCATTTATAACGTTTTCGGATCCTTTTTACAACACAAAATTTTTACTATATTCGTTATAATGTTATATAAAGGGCAATTTACGTTTAAGTCCTATTAGAAGTTCTAAAAAACTAAATAGGTTTCTTTCTTCAAATTTGGTATATATATTTTTGAAATTTTTACACACCTACAAAATTTCCAATTCAAACAGGAACAGACGACAGCATTGGAAATTTAAATGGAACAATATGTATGTATGTATGGTACGTTTTCTGATTTTGCGCAAAATTCTGAGCAATTTTTGTTTACATTTCCCTATTCCTATATCTTTCCATTGCTTCGGATTTTTTTTGCATAAAAATACTTTATTAAAGCTTAACACGTTTTTGAGTCAATGCGGTCCATTCTAAAAATTTTCAGGGACTCACTGTTACATTTGTTTGAATCACCAATACCCCAAAATTTTATTGAATTACTGACCTTACAACCCTACTTCTTAAGTAATTTATCAACATTTATCACATAGAAAAAAGATTTCTGTTATGTGGATTTTTAAAAAGAGGAACAATTTTTGTTCCTTTTAATGTACGAAACAGTTACCTATGAGCATGCACCACGAAAAAAACTATATAGTTCTCCTTATTTCTTCGGTATTTCACAGTATTTCGAATCGTTCTAGAAGTAATTAAAAAAACGTTTTTTTGGGTCTTCTTTTGCAGGGTCCGTATCTTCCGAAGTAGACTTTTTAACCATATTAACCAAACTATCGTCGTTTTTTATTATTCATTTACACTAGAAAATTTATCGAAATACTTTGCCGATAGATTTGGTTTAGCATTTCAACGTTTGAACTATAGCTTTCCAATTTTGGACGATACTTGATACGATTTTATTAAATATTTAAGACTTAATTTAAATCGATTGACCGCGCCAGTTTGACTAACGCCGAAACGCTCGTTTTCATACCGAGTGTTATTGAATTATCGTAAGCCAAAATTAAACGCTTCCGAGCAACATGCAAATCGCAGCCAAACAACATCTACATAATTAAAGCAATGCATAAACGTCTGGCCAGGCCTAATTTATCACGGATAGTGGAAGACGTAAGAAAGTTACACGATATCGAAACCGGCAAACAAAACTTAACGGTGCGGTTGGGGTTTCATCCATTATCGTACGATTCTTAGTTTCCATCTTCGGTGTAAGTTTTTCGCGATACAAATGAAGACGAACCGAATGTGTTTGTTAAGCTGAGGAAACTCGGCTTTTCAATTCGTACTAAAATTATTCCGGGGGTAAACTTTACATTACGTTCGGAATGGTGCCATTGTATCTTTGAAATTGTTCCGAAGCGGAATAACAAGAATTTCAACTCTAGTTCTCCTATAGTCTATTTGCAAATGCCCGGCGAAACGGTAGCCAGAACTGTGTACTGGGCTCGCTACTATTTGTCTTCTTCATAGTAATAAGTCTAGAACTTGTTTAAACCAGAGCGTAATTAAACCTGTTTTTTGTTAAAAGACACACTCAAAGGAAAAGGAATTTTTCAAAGAAACTGCCACAGACTACTGTAATACGTTCTAGTTAGTTTCTATTACCAAAGTTCCTATTCATGAAACTCTAAACATCATTTTAGATATATTAAAATCCGAGAATCTGGAACCAAACTTTCTCACCTTAATTGAAAAATGCTTGTCTGGAACATATTTTTCTCATAACGGCCGAATATGTGAACAAACATCGGGAACAGCTATGGGTTCTCCACTATCACCAGTCATCGCGAATATATTTATGGAAGCCTTTGAGAAGAAGGCTCTCGATCCCTTTCATCTAAACCAAAATTATTGAAACGCTACGTCGATGATGCTTTGATTATTTGGCCCCATGGTCAAGAAGCCCTAGTGGATTTTCTTAGACATTGGAGTTGGAAACTAATAATAACCTCCCATTCTTAGATATTCTTATCGATAGAAAATCACACCTAGCATTGGGTCATTGTGTGTACAAAAAACCTACGCACACAGACCGATACCTTAATGCATGGTCACATCACCATCCGGCCCAAAAATTATCCGTTATCAATTCTCTTGTTTACACGGTAGTAAAATTATCTCAGCTCGACTCATTCGAACGCAGAATCAAAACAGCTTACCTCTGCTCTTCTCTCTAATAATTTCCACATGCAATGAGACCGAAAGCAATCCTGCACTTGCCACCATGGTCCTTCCTTACATTCAAAACATCACTGACTACATATCAACACCAACGCAGGAGAAATCCAGAAGTTTTGTATAAAGTACACGACGGGACGTTGTCAGGAATCTTCCTCAGCAACCGGCTTTCAATAATTTTCTGCCTTCCACCTTTGGACCTGAGCTAACTTTCTGGACCAGTATATTCATTTCGCAGCCCTCAATCGCATCTGAGGTTTTTGTGGTGTCATCTCTTGTTTCGCAGCTCTATAGCGGACACCTTAGTAGTTAGTCAGATTTCTTCATTACTTCATTCTTCATGATTGATTATAAAACTTTATCATTTCTTCTGCTAGTTTGCCGAATAACTGTCCATTGAAGTAAATATGTAGGAAATAAGGCTAATGTTTGGTTAGAAAACTAAATTTAGACAAGACCCACAGGATTGCGTTTTTCTTCAATTGTATGGCAAACAATGGGCAGTCCATTAGATTTGACGATATGAATTTTATGTTGAAGTGGAACACCGCTGTATATTAAAAGAACGAATTTGTTTTTTTAGAGAAACCATAATATTTCTTTGGAATAATTCATAGGAATCTCATATTGTTCGTAAAATTATAACAATAGAGCAAACCCGGAATGTGGAAACAAAGCGAACACTTTTATGCAAATTAAATCCTTATTAAATTTTTCATGTTTTATATATAAAATTTAAAAAGAATTCGAGATAAGTCTGCTTCAATGCTGCTCTTACTGTTGAATCTCACAATCTAAATCCTAATCGTATACCAAATTTAGTCTTAGGTGTTTACTGATTTTAACTGCTGTCAGTCAAACTTTAATGATGAAAATTTGACACTTAACTAATAAATATTATTAGAAAGTTTTGTGCATCCACCAAGTGTCAAGAAATTACTGTGCGAAATCTTTTTTTTTATTTTAAATAAATTCATTTCGTCTAATTTTTAATATTGACAGAATATTGGCAAACATTTGGGAAGGTACTACAACAACTTCCCGCATGTTTTTGTTATGCGCCGATTAAAAAAAATCTACGAAGACCAAGACTATAATAACTCTCGTTCGATATGAGGGATGTTTTCATAAATGGTTTTCGCTGCTTCGCAAAATCGATCAGCCAGTGGAAATTTTGTATTCTCTATAGGGGCGATAGAGCGGCAAAATAAAAGAGTGCGCCCTCATTTAGAATTTCTATTAAAAACAAAAATCATGGCTTTTGCTACATTCGTAAATTGCGTTCCCGATCAATTTCGACCTTGCCTCTATATATTTTTGGTTTGGTTTAATAAATACAAATGCGAGTGGTAATTGCCAAAAAAAAACAAGAACTGTTAATTGATTATTTCATTTTTTAAGAAATATTAAAATACATTTAGTTTAATCAAATCGAGTAATTTTCATGATTTTAATATATCTTTTTTAATTTTTTATTTCACAACAAAAAAATACTGCGTATATAACCCAGCCCTTAACGCTGTTCAAGTAAAGTTGGTCAACGTAACTTGTTTTCCAGGAACGCAATTCATTTACGACCCTGCTAAAAATAAAACGAGCAAAGGGAAATTAAAACGGTCGTCAAAGCTAAAAATCAAAACCAGTAAGGCAATTTAATGACTTCCGCTGGCAGAAAGCGCGATTCCACGTACAATATTTAATTACAAAAATAGTTGAACGACGTAAGTGTGGGCGGTAGTTCAAAAATAATTGCGAACACATAAAAGTCATTTTCATGGCCTAACTTAAAAGTATTCTTCGGTTTCTGATTTCCGTGGGGTCATTCTGAGTCGCATTCCATATACGCAAGGCCAACCGTTCCTATAAGTAACTTTTCTGGTTTTTATAATTTTGATACCATGAAAATTTCTAATAATAAATTTGATAGTAATGTTTTATATATTATAAAGAATATTTTAAACTCACTATCACATTCCGTTTCGGTGTTGGTAATTTGATGTTTGTTATCCTGTGGGACAGTTTTGGTTTAATATTTGTGTGTAATACCATGCTACGGTTTTTATCACAGTAAACGACTAACATATTTCGAAGTTACTATTCTACATAACATTGTTTTTAAAATCAACTTTCTTTTGATTGTTTATTGTCTATTTGAACTGTGAGTCGGTTGATTACCGTTATTTGATGTCAATAGGAACGGGCTATGTAGTCTATTCAGTAGTAGTCCAGCAGTTGGGCCAGTGGTTGCTTTGTTTATAAATGATATATTTATAATTTTATTTTAATCAACCGATTTAAACAACTTCATTAGGCAAATAAGTCCCGCCTCTTCAAAATGTCTAAATATTTAGATGGTCCGTATAAACCAAATTACTCTAGATATTATTTGTGTCTGTGGGTTTTGCTTGGACATAACATGAGATATAATACAGAAATCTTAAATAACTTAACCCGCAAAAGATCAAATAATGAATTTCCATTAGAATTTGCTCGGAAAATGTCGTATTATGGGTAATTTTCAAAGGCATCAATAATCAACCTCGAGCTCTTTGAACTACTTATCGAGAACTTTTAATTAAACTTTACCAGAATTTGACTTTTCAATTTCATCAATCTAAACTAGTGAAAGTTTTCAAGTGTTATTAAAGTCTGCAACGGAGATTTCGAAAGTTCGACTACGACATTTAATAGGGCGCATTCTAAAATGGGCGCCGTACATTTTATTCGGAATTTGCGAAAACCTATAACTGAAAATACTTTTAGGTTCTAGAAAGAAACAACACAAAACGAACTACATTTCTCGCTTCGGGGAAGCGTTCCGCTACTAAAGTTTGCACTCGAAATTATAAGGGAATTTTTCCATAATTTCATATAACTCAATTCGATTTTCCATTCAATGAGAAATATGTTACGTACATATGTTTTCCGCTTCGACTCATTTCGATTATAATATTTTACGTGGAGTGGCTTTGTTTTCCTGAAAAAATAGTCCGGGACGCAAATGAGAAAATAAGCTCGAGCCGGACAGGTATATTTGAACTACTAAAACAGGGTAGAGAGGAATACGGAATTTATATTATGATATAGAAGAGATATATGGAGGTATAAGAGAGGTATATGGAGGAGTAGTTCATATGTATAAATAGCTATATTTTTTTTATAATGACTTTGTATCGACCTGTAGCAAAGCTGAAATATTTTTGAGGTTTCAAAACGTTTTATTTTTGATTTATTGTGGTGTTGACATTGGCGAAATCTCTTAACATTTATTAATTGATATTTTTTAGACATAACGATGAGAGTAACAATGGAGGAGGTCCTAGACTGCAGGAATCGGGTATTGTCTCGAATCACACGTGCATCAGTGCCGACTACGAACTAGGAATGATACTGAAAGAAATCCGTTTCATAACGGATCAGCTGAGAAAAGAAGACGAAGCACACAGCATAACTAGAGACTGGCAGTTTGCTGCCATGGTGGTTGACAGACTGTGCCTTATAATATTCACTCTATTCACTATTATCGCCACATTAGCGGTGTTATTTTCGGCACCCCATATCATCGTGTCGTAGCTGTAGCTGTCCCGTCCCTGAATGGCTAACAATTTTCCACCAGAATGTGATTTTGCTCCAGTGCGCGTATATCCGCTTATCGTTCTTGCGTTGCTATCAAACAAGTTGAACTAACTCGAAAAAATCTGGTGGACAATTTGCTGGAAAGTCAACGCTTACGGAGTTAATACGGACGCATCTAGCTACCAAAATACCCATTATGGTTGGCGTATTAATACATCCAAAATTTTGGTTACGTATCCACTCACTAGGATATTAACACAATCATTCTGTGATATGAAATTATTGGGTTAGTCAGCTTTCGTGTATTCGGCTTAATTTTAAAACAAATAATTACTATCAATATCTGTGATTGGCAGTGTTTGCAATTAAATCGCCGATTTAAGCGAAAAGTTTTCAATCTATGAACTCGTTTCTATTGAATTAGATGTGTTGCGAAGTAGCAAATTAAAAACAAAATGTCAATTGCCCAATAAATTCGATCAAAAACCATTTTACGTGCCGCATCGACAAATGTACATTTCGCTCATTGATCCCGGAGTATTTACCGAAACACGGAGTGACGGCCGGAACGTGTGGACGGAGCTTAACAAAGCTACATGCACGATAATTAAAACAAATACAATAGCGCGGGATCGGGGATTTACTACAATTTTATGATAAATGTTATTTGTAATACATCGCGAAATCCTGGGATCGACTTTTCAAATAGTTTCACCGAATAAAACTGATGAAAAGGTTTTGCGGAAATGAAAATTTAGAGTCAGACAAAAACAAGAATTCCGGTTTCGGGATAAGTTGAATATAAATCAAAATGGCGATTTAAAATTCTTCCTGCTCCCAACATCGAAACCAATAACCCGCACTGCATAGATATATACTGCAGAAACAAGATCGGCGAATTCAGGTCACCGGTTAGTTCACCCTTCTTTGACCTCTAATGTATGACTGCTTCTTTACGATACCACTCAAAGACTATTTATTTTTCTTCATGCCCGGGCATATCGTTTGACATACGCGATATATATTTTTTAAAACTAGCGCAGATTTTTTCTAATGGTCGTTAGTTTTGACAAAAAAGCAACGCAATGTGGAAAAATCCGTGGAATCGATATAAATCTAAAACCGTTTGTTACTTTGAAACTGCCTTTTTTAATTTTTTCGTACTCCGATCATGAAAATGCATTTTTCTTTGTGGGATTCGTAAAAGTAATGAACAAAGCGATTTGACATTTTGCCGTAACCTATTAGCCCGTGAGAGTGACGGGTCATTGGGAATTCGGTAAAATTCGATATCAAACGAGAATCAATGTCATACACACATGTAGCATTCCTTTATTGTGGGTTGGGGATCGACAATTGTGTTCCGACGCTCATAATCAGTTACAGAATGGAATTTCCGCTGACCACAAACATTAACATCAGGTTTTGCTCGATCAATTCGAATAATTCTTTTCGTTTCGGTAAATATACCGTATCAATAAGCGGATGATATTTAATTAGGGATATATAGAAGAACACGAAACGCATCGCACAGGGAAATGGCAATACTCTGGAGTATATCAACACACCTAACGTTGCTATTAAAATAGTTCGTTTGGTTTAAGAAACCGCGCATTTTTTGGTACGTTTACGCCCACACCTTTGCCCGCCAATTTCCAGTGTTGTCGCATAATTTGATTTCGTTCCGCATTTTCAAAACATTGCCATTAACTTTTTGAATATTATGTAAATTACACTATCGGTTGTTTCACATTTGTACATTGTCAATCGATAAATTTGTCCTCGACGTTCACTTTTAGTCGCTCTATAGATACACGGTGGACGAATTTGTCGAGATGCTGTATAAATGGACATTCTGTACATAAACAAGCAATAGCTGAAATTGCTAAGCAAGTTTAGAGCAAAAAATAAATTGTATTTATATAACTAGTTATATCATGTCTCATGTATTTAAAATAAAAAAAAATTGTTAAATTCTATTACACAAATTTTAAATATAGTTTATAGGGCTAGTATTTTATAGAACTGTTATAAACTACACTATAGACGTTCTATTATTTCCGACTTTATTTGCGAGTCAAACAACCTGCTGCCATTTTGTGGCGGCGGCTTCTATCATTTGGCCCCCGTGGGTCATTAAACAGACTGCTGCTCAAAAGTAATAGGTTAGTCCATCGACTAAGTCAATGGGATAGTCTGATGTTACTAGCTTTTAATAAAGTTTGTTAAATATGTAAATATGATAATAATTAAACATGGTTTAAAGAATTGACGTGAACCAGTGCAAATAACAACTTTGGTAGGTCATTGAAATTATATACTATGGACAGACCCGAATTTTTTACAAAATCAACATTGAGGTTTGGTTAATGCTGCTCCGCTGCAGAGAAAATTGCGTGCAATCTTTAGTAACAATCTTTTTCCAAATATTACATAATTATTTATTACGTACAACGTACAAAGAATAGGAATATAACTGGGATAAAAGGAATCGCGAACAAAGAAATCTTCCCTTACATTCGGGCTTGAGATTAATGAAGCGGTCACCGTGAAATGTACGATTTTAATTCGAGGTCAGTTAAGGGCGTAAAGGGGTGTAAATGTAATATAAATAGGAAATTCAGTCAGCTAAGTAACCGCATATTCCTAAATTCCTCAAAATGGGAAAGAAAAAAATCTACTTAAACGAAAATACCACAGAGGGGCAGCTAGCTCGAACAACATAAATTAAATGTTATTCGCACTGGCTTCTAAAAAAATAATATAATAAATAAAAGTAACACGTTAGCAGTAGAATTTAGATATCTTAATAATGGAACGTAACACAATACTACTCTTGTGTGATCTATCTCTCTTAACAACTTATGTGATGAACCCGGAAGAAAGAAGTCAAATGTAAAATGAACTTTTCCAAAAGGTAATCTTGTTCGATTGTTATTTAAAATAAGAAAATTTCCATCGCGTTATTTCTATGAGGAATGTGACAATCCGTTTTGTCATTAAATAGGTAAAATTAAATTAAAAAACTCGGTTAGGTTGCAATGGAGTTTGTTTTACCATTTAGTATTTAGTTCGGTCATCTGTAGCATCCCAGTCCCAGTGTAATACCGCTGTTTTGTATTATAAGCTGTTGTAACATTTTACTACAATGGATTGTACTTTGTTAAAACAATTTCAATTAAACTTAAAATTTAATATACACTAAAGTGTTTTATTACTAGCTTAGCTGTAATTTCTTGTATTACGTTATTGAGGAACAAGAATTACACACTTGCCGGCATTTATTTTTGGTGTGGCGTGTTGGGGGGTTCTTTTTAATTATTTTACAGGGTAAACGAGTTTCACTAAACTAATTTAAAATTTAGCAGGAACTAAAAATCAAACAAAACGAGAATATTTTTTTTAAAGAGGTAAATGGTTATTTTTTATGTCAACACGTCGCTTCAGAACCGTAGTCAAAGATTTTTTGAAAAGCTCCGAGATCTCGTAACAATCCGTAACAATATAGCCCTTAATTCATTCAAAACAAGACAGTAAAATAGTTATAATTTGACTTTCGCCCTAAGAAAAGACTTGGGTCTTACAAAAAAATCCGGAAAGTATATTGGTGAAAGTTTTATGTTGGGCCGGACACGTCCCTGTATATTATAAAGTCTGCCCGCCTTGCGCACATAAAGCGAATTTCGGTCGAATCGATACCGCCCTTAAAAGCAGTAAAACAGGACAAGGATTGGTTTAGCAAAATAGTTCCGCGCCCTTCGAAAGCGCCATCTCGCGCCTTTATACTCAACCACCGCCACGGTTTCAAGGGGGTGGTGTCGCCCTGTGACAACACTTTCTCAGAATGACTGAGAGAATGTTGTCGTGTTCGTACTGTCGGTGTTGAGTGACCGCGACCGATATGTTTATTCTGAAACATGTTTGGACCTCCTTATAGTGTAATTAATGTGAGTGAGGATCGTATTCTTCCCGGTTCAGCTCTAGCCCTGGCTTACATTGGTAGAGCCATGGACATGAGCGTTTGTACTTGGTTTCGATGATCTAGCAAGTACACCTCAGAATCTTGTTACAAACAGTCATGTGGACGATGATTGCAAATCGGCTATTTTCCTGTACACTCGTTATCTTCTGCCTCGTGGTCGTAGGTAAGTCCATTCAACACCGGCACACCCACCAAGCCCTTCCCACCGTGGCAAATGATGTAAACAGAGCCCCTCCCCTCTAATAAACAAAGACTGTCATCTCGCTTGAATAAATAAACAAATTGGGGCACCTTCTGGAGAGACGATTTTGAAACTGGTTTTAGGAAAATGCTCTGAGGATGAGGAACGACTTGTACGCGATTTGTTCAGAGGATACAACAAACTGATACGACCCGTTCAGAACATGACCGAAAAGTTGGACGTTAGATTTGGTTTGGCTTTCGTTCAACTTATTAACGTTGTAAGTAATTTTTAAAAGAAATTGTTATCTCCATTAAAGGTGTAGACAAATTCTAAGCCAATTAAATGTGAGTTAAACAAATATTTTGTGAAATTAGTGTAATGGCTTTAGAAAAATTTGATTATTAGCATATTCAACCAAGCAAAATATATACCCCCGGTATACAAATTGCCTTCGAAATAGGTTTTTTGTAAGATTGATCACCAAAATCTCCACCAATTCAAATTCGACCACACCACAATATTTATAAATAGCAACACCCAAAATTTCGAAAATAAACAAAGTTAAATCATTATATTATTAAGATACAACATTTTAAAAAGGGGTTAGCTATATTACAGAGGCAAATTAATAAAAATACACAAACACGAAGCACCGCAATTTGATGAAATAGTAGCTTTTAGAATATAACGTGAAATCAATGTCTACTTGCGACCGTTTGAGGGATTATAAATACTTAATATTAGAAAAAAATGAAGGAAATAAAGCAAATTTTAAATCACGAAAATTTGTTTTTTTTTTTTCACATTTTCCTTTGTAATTTTAATATCGTTAAATTTCAAAATATATACCAGTTTGTTTTGTATATACATTTTTACGACTATAAGGTCAATTGAATTTCGTAAATCACAGTGCATTTATTTAATTTTTACATAGTTATAACTATACATAAAATCCTATGAAATGTTGAAGACTGCGCCAACGAAACTGTCCGACACTTGAGCTAATTTAAATCAAAATGAAATGAACAGTTTCCGAGGAGCGGTGTGTGAAATAACTACAGCCCCTTTCGTTTTTTTTTAATTGAATTTTTCCTTTTGATGCAAATTTTCCTCGCTAAAAGTATGCAAATTGTTTCAGAAACTTTTTTTTGCAGTCTGCGCTCTAAACAGTCGAGGATGTGTGATCGAATTATTTGCATTTAATTTAAAAACTGGTCGATTAAGTGACGAGCTTTGTAGCCCCCAGACTGTTTTATATTTCAAAGCGTTTTTTCTCCATTAATTTTCCCACTCCGATACTGCTCGGCCTCGCTTCGATAGCAACGTTTCAACTTAATCCAATCCGATCATTTTTTTAACATCGTTATAGTCCCCTTGAAAGATTTTTGCCCTGAAGTGTTTCAATTTTTCAACACATTTTGAAACTTGCGAGGTTTGTTTTTTAAACTAAAAATGAAACATTTTTTTATTCTTTTCAGTCTGTTCAGATAGCCTTGTAATACTCAAAATAATATGGATGAGGATAAAAGAATGAATTATTGATTATGCAAGAAACTAAAAAAAAGTGAACATTTAACAGGTAGGAGAGGATCGAGTGCTTTCAAAAAAGTATAGCAGACCACTTACAGTAAAAAGTATAAAGCAACCGGCATTGTAATTACCAAGGTCTTGATATTTGTCTACCTTCTGTGATTTTCTTCAAAAGGATATGAAAAAAGAAGTAACAATTTCTTCAGGGCTCGTTTTGCAAAACATATAAAATAGCCAATTGAATTTTGTTTTGTTTTAATTTATCACAAAATTAATTTAATATAAACAAGGTTAAGACAACGTAAGCATTACGTAAAAACTTATCGTCAATTTGTTAAATCGTTTTGAGAAAACTTTCGGTCTAAAGGGATTTTCGGGATCTATTGAATTTAAAAGTTCATTAGATGAGATGCCAGTTCGAAACAAAACCCATTTGCGTTCGTACACGTGACGCAATAACGATTGTTAGAATCAAAGGGGAATTTCGAAATTTCGGCGTTCTTAATAAAGGTTTCAATTTCCATTTAATAAAACGGCAATTTTAGCGAACAATGTGGCATACGCAATATTCCGATAAGCCGATACCTATTTAATAACAACACGTAACAGCGTAAACACGAGCATGGAATACGGAATTGCGAACAAGTGTTGAAATACTGAAACCCTAGATTTACGGGCCAACCGATACTGGACAAAACCGTAATTACCCAACACTATAAGGAAACCTAACTTCCTTCCTTTTGCTTTCAAAATTCATAACTAGGTATTTGTCACATAATAACCAATACACATACTACTCCTTGAAAAGAAATTTCAAACAGAACAATCAAATTAAAACTGACCGATTCTTTAATTGTATAGTATATTACATATTGTAATGCAGTGTACTCTCCTGCCTTACTGCAAAGAGAAAAAATCAGCCTTCAGCGTCTTCAAAATGCCAGTCTCAGACTCTCTTGTAATGTTCGTAAGTTTAATCGCATTTGTGTGGGCCTTGGTGACTGAGTTTAGATGAACCATAAGCATAATTCAACCCAATTTAAACGCTGCTTTATCTATAATGCTATCAAAGCTCACAATAAACTTCCTCTCCAACTAAGACCTCCTTAACTACTTGCAAACAAAAACTTAGGCAAAACATTTTTGACAGCAGAGACCGAACATCTACGTAAAATAGTGTTAACTTTCTATTCAGAATTTTTCTTTGTTAATTTGTTATATTTATTTTAGCACATTATATGGTAACTCTTTTACTTCTATTTTTCTCATTTTGCTTTTCGCTGTTATTATTTAGGCTATTCTCCTTTTATCTTTCTTCATTATATATTTACTATATATTTATTGGGGACTGGTTGTTTGCTTCTGGAGATTGCCATATAGCTATTAGATAATACATACAATATTTTCGTAGACAACGGAAGGATTTTCCGCGAAGGCCTCTACATTTCATCCACTAACCTGCGCTTTGCGCCATTTTCTTTGTAAATTTGTTTTTCCAGAACATTTAGCCAGATCTAGGCATATTTTGAGAAATTCTGTCAGAAAATCTGAAGATCTATCAGCGTCCATGTTGGTCGTTTTTTGTTCATAAGTTCCTGTATTATCGGCGTAGGCAGAGCATCTATATTTATATCGGGGATTTCATAAGAGCAACAATGTTGGACATCGCCCCCAACTTAAGCTGATAAAGGCTATTTATTATTATTATTATTATTATTATTATAACATAACCAAATATAAAAAACTTATCCTTAAATAGAAGGAAAAATGTACTTGCTTTTACCTTGCGAAAATTAAACTAGACTTAACAAAAAAGAAAATTAATCAATTCAAATAAACACTCGTCTGCACCTGTAAGAAATTTTCTTTGGTTACTTTTCTTTCAGCATTCATCACAAAAGGGTTAATACACATTAACATTTATATAAGTATTAAATAACGGCGAACGCAAATATTGATGATAAACAATAAATTAGTGTTAAAAGACTTAATGTTTCATTAAAGTACAAAATAATAAGACTCGATTATAGTTACAGTATCACTTTATAGTAATACCACATGAAAATGTGTTCAAAAAGGGCGGCTTTTTATATTCCCTAAGTTTTGCCAAACCTAAATATTACAAAAAAAAACAATAAATGGTACAAAGGCATACAAGGGTGTTCGTGAATGCCCTTCATTCCCCTAGCCAAAAATGATGATATTGCCTTTTTAATTCTGAATGCCGGAATGATATATCGTGTTTATGCTTTTTCAGAACGAGAAAAATCAAATTTTAAAATCAAACGTCTGGCTCCGATTGGTAATAAATCTCGCAAATCGAGCTTATCAAATTTCCTACGCTGCTCGTTTTTAGGTGTGGAATGACTATCAGTTACAGTGGGATGAAGCCGACTATGGCGGTATAGCTGTTCTTAGGTTGCCACCAGATAAAGTCTGGAAGCCGGACATAGTATTATTCAATAAGTAAGATTATATATCGATATCCTGCACGTAATGATATTTTTTTGTTACGTAATTTTTAACATCAAAAATAAAATTGTTAACATGTTTTAAAATTTATATAAGTTAAAATAATATAAATAATAAGCAATAAGAATCTGTTATAATGCACAGGAAAAAAAAAACAAAAATTACGCTACGGATTTATTTAAAATTAACTCGAAATTTTTAGTGCTGATGGCAATTACGAAGTCAGGTATAAATCAAACGTGTTAATTTATCCAAACGGAGAAGTACTTTGGGTACCACCTGCGATATACCAAGTAAGCTTTACACCAAAAAACCTCAAAATTTTTAGTAAAACTAGCTTTGTTTTAGAGTTCATGTACAATAGATGTAACGTACTTTCCATTCGATCAACAAACTTGTATAATGAAATTTGGTTCGTGGACATTCAACGGAGATCAAGTATCGTTGGCTCTATACAATAATAAAGAATTCGTGGACTTATCGGACTATTGGAAGTCAGGTACATGGGACATAATCGAAGTACCAGCCTACCTCAACATATATGAAGGAAACCATCCCACGGAAACCGATATAACTTTTTACATAATTATTCGTAGAAAAACGTTGTTTTACACGGTAAATTTGATACTTCCGACAGTCCTTATTTCCTTTTTATGTGTTCTAGTCTTCTATTTGCCCGCCGAAGCTGGTGAAAAGGTGAGTGTTTACACATTCTGGAAACTTTGCCATTAATTTAATGCTTTTATTAAATTGCAAAGTCTACAGATAGGAACCCACATCTACTTTGGAATTTTAATAAAAGTTTTCAATTTAAATTGTGTGAAAATGTTTTTTTTTTTTCATTTCAGGTTACTTTAGGCATTAGTATTTTACTGTCACTAGTTGTGTTTCTGTTGCTCGTATCAAAGATCCTGCCACCGACATCGTTAGTATTACCGCTCATAGCCAAATACCTCCTTTTTACATTTATAATGAACACTGTTAGTATACTTGTTACAGTTGTGATAATAAATTGGAACTTCAGAGGTCCCAGAACACACAGGTAATAAAATTTCTTTCACCATAGCGGAAGGAATCAGATTTCTCTTAAGCAAAATCTCGATAATCCGCCTTTAATGTGTAAATTTTGGTAGGCTTCATTTTGCACTGGTGTTATTAAATATAAATACGCGTCTTACCGAAATCTACGATATGCAAAAGCGTGTACACAAAATAAATGGCAAATATTTTGATTTCAGGATGCCTTCGTGGATTCGTTCAGTGTTTCTCAACTATTTACCGGCGATGTTGTTAATGAAAAGGCCTCGAAAAACGAGGTTACGATGGATGATGGAAATGCCTGGCATGGGGGTACCTCCTCACCCTTATGGGTCTCCTGGCGACATACCCAAACACATAAGGTATTTTTTTTAATGTATACCCGTAACATTCTCAACGAGAATATATTCTGGATTTTTTTCTAAATTTGTTTGTTTAGAGCAGAAATCATTCTATGATTCTTGACAAATAAAAAAAATTAATGGAAATAATTTTTCACAGGATGCTAGTAAAAAAAAACATCCTTTTTCGAGGTAGCAAAACTTTAAATCCGACTTCGATTCTAGCGTTTTCGCTCGAATATTACGTGGAACAAAATGAATTTAGTTCTCCTGAAAAATAAAACGACCAACTGGAAGGACAAATTAAGCTGCGAATTTGACTTCGTGGAAACCGTAGTCGCGTTTTATTTGAATATCGTTACCTGGCCGGAAAGCTCTTTGTTCGAAGTTTTTAAAAGCCCGCAACACATTCCAATATCGTTATTACGTAGTTGGTACGTTTGAAATCAACTTTCATTTAAAAGAGAATTGTTTTCCTTCCTTAAAAAAGTCCCTCTTTCGCTCTTAAAACAACAATTCCAAACAAAATACCGAGGGAACTTTTAGCAATGTTTAACAGATTGGCTTATCGATTTGCATCGACTTAGTGTTTGGCGAAAATTCATGTCGTACGAAGGAGTGTCCCCCAAACTATCGACCTTTCAAACTGAATTGACTCGATTGTAACTGACTTTAACACAATTTTAGAATAATCCTTCCTTACCAATTCCAATCATGTTCCTAGTTCTATCGACCGGCCCCGGTCTTGTAGAGTTGAACTGAAATCTTATTAACATCTTGCATCTTTGCGCTTAAAATGTTAATGTAAAAAAATTGCAATTTTTATGCGGAAAACTTCTAAAGCCCTTAATAATAATTTAATATGGGGCGGACCTTAATTCCACTTGATATTTTTAATTAATTCCCTTTTTGTGAACACAAGTTGCTGTTTTTGGGTCTTCGCGAACTTTTACCTTTAACATGCTACAGCAATATTCTTTTAAATATTTAAAACCTTTTTTCAGAAAGCTTCTAATTTAAAGTCAAGTGCCAACATATTTTTTTTTTGCGTCAAAGCCATTTCAAACAAAATAAAAAGTAATTTAAATAAAATAAATATTTTAAAAAATTTATCCGTTTGCGTTTTGTAATCGAAAATTTCCATTTTCTTCTAACTAGTCGCCTTAGCGTCCAAATAACCTCAAGATGACACCCTAATGAACTTATAATCTGACTGAAACGATTTAATCGTAAGAAGGAACGGAAGGGAGTCGCAAAACGAAGGTTTCTCGCTTCATCGATCCCTTATCAGTCACTTCGTTTGAGTGGCACAAACTTTCACGAAGATTTTTATTGCTATAATTCAAAGTCAATTACTTATAATGACAAATTTTTGTCCCTTCTTTTTTTCGATTAAAGCGAGACCCCACCCAATGCCGCTTCGGCAAAGGTTAAAATCATACGTGCAAAATCAGCTTTCAAGCAGCGAATTACAACAAACCCCAATATTAAATTTCGATGTTCAATTAACTCAATAAAGACGTAATTTTCCTACTTGAGAAGCAAATTATATTCGAAATAATTGAATCTATATCGATCCTGTAAGTTAAAAGGATAATACCGGAACATGCATAAGCTTTATTAGCAATTTTCACCGCGTAATAAACTAATATCATTTTCATCCATGCGGAAAGACAAGCGTACTGTTCAGTTTAGTGCAAAATTTAATTTAACTCTGCTACATTGCTGTATTAAGTTCCCGGCATCTGTTGCGCTGTTTTAGAAGGGAGTTCTTTTTTTCGAATTTTCCACATTAACGAAAGCGCTTTTTTTGTTAGCAAATGACTTCGCCACCGATTTTTTCCTCAAAAAAATTGGAAAAAATCGTGTTATTCAAAATAACAAAGATTGACAGATCATTGATGCGATACAAGTAATTGTTCCTTGTAAGATCGTGTGGAAAACACTATTTTCTGTGAGGAAAGACATTTGTTCCACATTAATGTGGGAAGAGTATCTAATATGTTTTTGATTCGTCAAATTTACCTTCAGTTTATATTTTTGAAAAATGAAAAACTCAAAACTTCGCAAGAAAATTATCATTTTTCACGCTCCTATCAGGGAAAATTTTTATAGGGCATATTCAACCTTAGAATGACGCTAACAATAAGTTTATTTATTTATTCATTTATTTTAATCTGCTAAATTTAAAGGAAACCATTATTTTGAAAAAATTATAAGATATGAGAAAAGCCCCGCATATTGGACATTTCGAAAAAGATTAATTATAATGTATAATTTATATGTATGTAGGTGTAATGTTTTATTTTGTTTGTGTTGCAAAATAGACCATTGAACATAAAAACGATATTGTTTTTGTAAATAAGCCTGTATGAACAACATACATAAACAAATAAAAAAAATCCGGAAAAAAAATAATTATTTTAAACAAAAATAATAAAATATATATATGAAACGCACTAAATCCAATTTTTAAAGCCTACTTGTAGCAATAGTTTGTCATCAAATAAGTTTAATAGTTTTTAACTGCGCCTTGCAAAAAAAGTCAGCAAAATATACTGTATTAATATTAATTTTTTTTTAGTTATTTATTAATTTTTAATAATTGCATCGCAAAACAAAAAGAAGTGGAAGTTTACGAGTTTTCCCAACAAAATTTCAACAATATTTAATTTACATATTCATTTATTTATTTTCGTTTATTGTCCAAAAAGATTTTACCTAATCAAATAAACGCTCAAACGTCCAAAGTAACAAATTACAAATTAAAAGTGTTAAGAATCGAAATTGAAGCTATAATATAAAATTTATATATATGTATATATATATATATATATATATATATATATATATATATATATATATATATATATATATATATATATATATATATATATATATATATATATATATATATATATATATATATATATATATATTATATAAAATAAAATATATATTATATAAAATGTTATACATACTTGATTAAAACATCCTCAGTATAGATAAAACTCCCAAATTTACATATAATATACCAACTCGTAAACTTTTATGTCTGTAAATTGAAAGTCATAATAATTTGTAAATATATAATTTTATGGAGTACAAGATTTTGCGATAATTTTTACTTTATTTATAATAATTTTAAAATTGTTTGTTGTCAACTTATTTATTGCAAATAGTGAGTAAACAAATAGATATTTATTTGTATTTCGAATATTAGAAGGCTTTTAGGCTTGTGGTGACGCCCCTCTCAAAAAAAAGTAGAGCTATCGAGTTGGAAACATTTCAAGTTTGAATGGGGCATTTTTTCATATACTCTAGTTTCTTTGAAGAGTTTCTTTTTTATAGCAAATACAACCAATGAAAGATAGTAAATATAGTACAAGTGCTTTGGGTTAATTTTATCGCATTATTTGAAAAAAAAATCAATAGCCCGATAAATCTACGTAGATTAAATGCAGATTAAAATATTTTTAAAATACAAAAACATAATATTAGTTATCCAAAAAATATATAAAAACATGTATTTTTAAAGTACCCATTTAAAATTATCCAGAATTGACAGACGTCAAAGACGTTTCAAAACCTTTGAAGAATTTATTTCAACGTAGTTTCTAATATTGACAAATTATTAACAACAAATACATAAAAAACAAAACATCGAAACTATTCGAATATCGTGGCCTATATATTCCGAAAAGCACAGGAGTAAGTTTGGTAAATAATAAACTCTACTGACTCGAAAACGTAACCAGTTACCCTAACTTGAGCAAAATATAAAATCAAGCCGTGTCTAAATAAACAAAGCGAATGGAAAACGTTGAAGAGTGTTTTGATTCTCTTAGAACTTTTGTTTCAAGGAGAAACAAACGTTCCGAACATCGAGGCGATAGTAAACGAAGTTTACTCAGATGCACAGAAACAACATTTTAAATCTCATCTGAAAACTTCAGCCGACAATGCAATAAAATCTGTTTATTATTTAAAGGGGAAGTCTCAAATTGCAAAAGGACACGTGAATCGTAACGGTCGAGAATGTAGGATTTTACAGGCGGAATTTGCCGAACGAAATATTGGTCTAACTCCAGACAAAAGCTCCGATTTAATTGAATTTTCCAGATTGAATTTTACACGGAGGGACTATCGGGTTGCGCTGATGCCTCCGCAATTACTTCCGTGATGAAGTAAACGAAGTTTGTTTTGAGACACACTTACTTAAACTTAAAACTTATCGAACTGTTATCACTTTCGACGAGGTATTTATCAAGTACTCTCTAGGTCGATAATTCTATCGGAAGTATACTGGGCGAACTCACTTAGTTCGCAAGCCAAGAAATATTTGAAACTCTTTTTTGAAGTTGTTATTCTGTTAGGGTATTGTTGGAGATATAAAATTTGGACACATATTGTAGGTTAGTTGTGTCTGACCAAAATTGTTGTAGTTCCGTCGAATCGCAAAGCAAAGTCGAGGTGATGGAATTGTCCGACTTGCATCACCACCCAAACTGCAAAATCAATAGGAAACCGAATGCAGACCTTGGTGTTGGAGTTGGTGGCGACAGTTGTAGACGTGAAAGCGAAAGTTCTGATTCGATATTGTTATCACCCGAAGCGTCTAAAGCTACAGAAGCTGTTGAATTTATAGCGGAACACTTACGCAACGAAGACTTGTATATACAGGTACGCACGATAATTTTAATTTTATAAAAGCTCTCCTTTTTTTCGAAATAACGGGTCTAAACAATTTATAATATCATTGTTATTCTATGCAGTGTGGCAGAGAAAATGTGGGAAGTCCTTCTTATCTAGACAGATTACATAGCTGTACATTTTAGTATATTCTGCTAAACATCATATTACATTAAGAACTTTAAAAGTTGTATATGAGCCGAAAAATTATCATCTCCCTCAATGTTTTGATCAATTTTTATATATAATTTTTATAATCATATACGAGGAGCAATTTTTGACCTAAAATTTAAAACACCCTTTGGAGTGATTGGGGATTTTTTATTTGTTTTTTTCTCAAGTCGCGTCTTCACGTTTTCGTCGATCGACCTGACTTAGTCAAGTTTTCCCCCATATATCTTAGATGTCTAGATAAACTATATCCCAATAACGCGGATATTTTGCGCAATTTTGCGTGAGGTGCGTAAAATGGATGAGAAACTTTTAATTTAATTTAATTTGAAGTCGGGTGAGATGTTTGAAATTTTGTAGTGAGAACTTTCGCCAAAATTTTAAAGTATATTTTTCAAAAATTGTGCAAAATTCAAAGAATATAATATGGGAAAGCAGAAGAATCTTTTGTTGATTGGAGATGGAGACATACTTGATGGTTCCCGGCATTAAAAAAATGTGCGAAAAATTTCTTTTTTGCGCGTTATTTAGATATTTTTGCAGAAGGGTTCTGATTCACATAGGTATGACACCCGGAGTGCAAATAATCTCGTGCTTCCGAGATACAGGCTGCAGAAATCAAAACAAAACTCTCCTTATATAAAGCTTTACAACGCATTGCCAAAACATTTTAAACTTTTATACGAAAAACATTTTAAAAGTTTTCTTCTAAGTAAGGGCTAATATAAGCGTTGGTGAATTTCTCGAAGAAAACATCGGTAATGACGTGTTGCGGGGCGTTGTGCATTGTTTGTATTTTAATGATTGTTCTGTCTTATATACTTATAAATTTATTTTTTTATTTGTTGTCCTGTTATTGTCAAGTTATATATATTGTACATCTAGATTTAGTATATTATGACGTTATATACAATTTTATGTTAGCATATACTTACATATATTCAATTTTTTTTTCCTTTGTATGACTTGAATACATCGAATATATTATGAGGGGAAACTTGACGAATTTCATTGTCAGAAACACTCAACTGGCTATGGAATTCATGGATGCACAAAAATATGTCAATTAACTATCAAACTTAATATTTCTTGCCTGCTATGTAAAATTTCTTCTTAAAATTGAATACTTTTTCTATTTCAGACACGCGAAGACTGGAAATACGTCGCGATGGTAATCGACAGACTCCAGTTGTATATGTTTTTTATTGTAACGACTGCTGGTACGGTGGGCATCTTGATGGACGCACCCCATATTTTCGAGTACGTCGACCAAGATAAGATAATCGAGATCTACCGCGGCAAATAGAAGAGTGTGAAGCTTCCCGCATCACTGGCTAAATAAATCATGTGGCTTCCAAAAGCGAAAAGCACATAATGGCCTATAGTTCGGTAACTAGTGTACTTTGATCGGTGGCAAAAAAACCATAAGAAAATATTAATTTAAAGTTCCATCTCAATAAAGAAGAGCGCCAGAAAAAAGACAGCCGTATAACCGTCGGTGCGTGTGAAATCCGATAATAATATTTTATTTACTAATAAATATCGCCGATTGACAATCGATGAACAACATTCCGTGTGTGAACAACAGACATTTCGTAATGTCCACCAATAAATTATTAATAAATTCGTACGAACGGTGAAAATTATTAGAATTGGTTTATAATTACTTGTAGTCCAAGACCTAGCAATACCGGTCAGAACACCTAGTCCCTCGGAATACCGTACGTGGCATAAAAATTGGGTGGGTCGTTGCTAGCTCTTAGACTAATGAATTAGTAGTCAGCTCAATATGTCTGGCGGAAATCTCTAAATCGAATCACGGATAATACTTTATCGAGATAATATTCATCCCACAAACATAAAATAAAAACCAACGCTCTTTTATTGGTAAAAACACGCAGTCTTTCATAAAGTACGGACATTTTGATGGGTATTATTTTCGATCAAGTTAAGTCCCAATGATAGTCCTAGAACTATTTAGAATCATGGAACGCAAATTCCAGAACATCAGACAAATATTAACACTGTCGTATATTTAGATTAGAGTAGAATGAGTAAATAGGCAGTGTTATACTGTAACGCCTTGTATAATCGTCATACAAGTCATTTAGCGTTATTAATCCATCATTTAATCGTTATGTTATACATTTCAATATGTTGGTAATTGTCTATGCAAACCATAAATGAAAATACAATATTGTTTTCCTGAGACAATATGATAACAATGCACTAGAGTTCCGCTTATCATTTTCGCAATACTTTTCTAACGACCCTATTATTATTTATTACGTTTGAGTAGGAATTCGTTAAACTGACTTCTGAAAAGGTAGGGGCCTATTTTCACTGCGCTTCATTTAATTGTTTTTTGTCAAGTGACGTCAGTTAATCGGAAACTTTACTCTATCATTAATTAATTATAAAATCCAATGATTTAAATACGATATTCTTCCGCTCAGGTATAAAATATTATTGTCTCCTCCCCCCCGCCGTAAGACTATAAACTCTTGAAAACCGTAATGCAAAACCCTTCTTGATATAGAGCTCCGATTTATCTACTAGCAGCTCCAATAAAAATGAGGCATCAAATGGAGAGGAAATTATTACCATTTAATTTTAAAATTACGCACCCAAATTGATGAAACAATAATGGAAATATCCAACTCGGAGTCAATTTTTGAATGAATCATCGAAAATTGCAGACTTTCTTGATTTCTTTTGAATGTGTAAATATTTTTAAGCTGTACATAATTAATATTTTAATATAAACTATGAACAAAGCATTATTATAGAAATTTTTTAACGTGTTTCCGAAATAATGGTGTTAATATAATTTATAAGTGGTGTATGTACAGTGATATAAAATTTTATTTTAAAAACAAATCGGTAAACATCCCAGACTGTGTTTAAAATTATAGCTTTAGCGATTTTGTCACAACAAAATGTAATAAGGGCAACTTATTTTTAATATTACTCTGGAATAACACGATGACAAAAAAATAGCGCTACGTTTGGACATGTACACATTTAATATAAACAATGAATTAACTAAACTCGCAACGAGTTAATGAATTTTGGTTGTACTAGACTTAAATAATTATCCAAAACTTAATTATTTTGTGTCATGTGCGTTGTCTTGCAGGGTACGTGGGTTTGCTTAATTAACGCAAAACTTTAGTACTCGACGTCTCGTTAATTCTCGCGTAAAAGAGATTTGCTCAAAGGCCAGACTAGTGTAAATCTAATTATGAAAAATTATAGGCATAAAATGTTATTCGCGTTTTTGTAAGTACGTAACTCATACATACTTCCCTTTGGTATTTTTGCTAGATTTCCTATGAATGGCATTAGAATATTTTCCTTTTTTATCATTACTTATAAGGGTAGACTCCATGCCCGCGAACTATTCCAGCACAGATTATATAAAGCACCACGGTCTTCCAGAATTCTTGTGATGTTTGTCGGATCTCTAGTTTAAAAATGCTAAATCTCTGCCTAAACAATGCAATAAATTAAAACGATCTACGCGTGTAGTGACGTATTTACCAAATTCGTAAGGGTTTATAATTTCAAACGAACCCCGTTGTTAAAGATAGTTACTAATAACTAAATAGGAATTAGTACCGTATAGCACTGCCTGCTGTGTTTCAGCACATAATCGCTTGGAACACCCCTATTGACTACTATTATAATGAAAAAAAAATCATTTACCTGTTACAATGTTAATCTATAAGAAAATGCATTTACAATAAAAATATGCAACTAATTGTTAATAAATGTGAGTTTTACTTCACCATTCTTTGAGAAGTCCAAATAGTAGGCACAGATTATGTGCGAACGAGCAATATTTAGCAATAATGGAAGCATAAAACCCTCTAAAGGGTCTGTCATTTCTCTTCCGCTCAAATTTTTTTGCTCTACTTTCGATATGAAAACACTTCACTAAAAACACTTTCAACATTATTTCGTTCATTCCAGGGATAAACCGTCGTTATATTCTGTAAACGTTATACGTAAACGAACGCACAAGGAAGCAGGTAAAGGTTTTTATCAAAGAAATAATTATTTCATTGAAAAGAGACAACTTAATAACGAAAATGTAAAGGATTCGCTTTTAAAATCTGGGCATTAAGCGCAATCAAAACGAATATGTCGTAAGTTAATTTGAACGTAGTCTTGTCAATATTTATTTTAAAGCTTAATTTAACAGCTATCACTTAAGAATTAAAACAAATTTCAAAAATAAGCTGTTTGATAATAACAAATAAAAATAATAAATAAATAAACGTACATAACACAGAGAGGTATATATCTTATGAACTAGGAAGGGCGATTTTGGTTATTTAAAATACGAGGATGTATGTACAACCCCACAGTAATACAGATAAATTAAATTTAAATTTAAAACTAAATTCATTGAAGATCATTTCATATTGAGGAGGGCGATTTTTTCCTGAATACAGTTACTCGACTTAGGAGCATCAGCCAATTCGCTGACATCAGCGTGTAATATGAAACCATTCACGTCAGGCACTAGCCTTTTGTTATCACTAGTGACCAGCTTATCATTAGCCGGTCTTTTATTGTTTGCTCTAGCACTACTCTTTACTTTCAAAATATTGGGACGATGGGGAGTGCTATGATTGGGTAAAGATACCACTCTGTGATTATTAACAGTCTCATGGTAAGTTTCGATGGCAGTCAACAATTCCTTTCTCTGGCTTTCTATGCGTGGATTCGCTAACAAGATCGCTCCGCCCACGTTACGAGCCCCAAACGTCGGCAGTACCATCGGTTTTGGATGAGATTTATACAATTTCATATTGGAATTACTAGTATTACTCGATAAAGGTAGAAATACCGATTTGTTTTGTATCGGCGGACTCATCGCGGACTGTGGAGACTCCAGACAAATCATATTGTTACCGATTTTTACAAACTGTAAGGAACCGTGTCAAAAATATATTAGTTTAAGTGATAAAAAACATACCTGGACAGGACTGACAACTGAAATAGGACTCATGGGCATATAAACTATGGGAACCGTTCCCACACCATCTTGGGAAGCAGTCTCAAAATTATTTGGTTCACTTATATAGCCATTTGTTAGTTTTCTAGAGGATTCAGTTTCACTTACAATCACATTTAGTTTCTAAAACCAATATAGATATCCCTTAATTCATTTTGACGCCAAGAAAAAAATATTACCTTTGAAGAAATAGTTGAGGTAGTAATCTGTCTTGGGTTAGAAGATACCTTAGGCATAATAGGTACAAACGACGTGGTGACCGTTGAAGGGGACTCAACGGTGGTGACAATTTTGGCCACAATAGGTACGTAAGAAGTATTTTGGCAAAACATTTCTTTTTCTTCTCCATTTGGGGACGTATAGGAACAAGAAGAAGATGTAGCCTTCAAGTCTTTTTCCTTTGCTGCTTTTCGTTCGGCTATTAGCTGATGAATGTCTTTACTTCTCCCAGGAACCAATTTTCTTAACTGTATCTAGAAAAATATGTGAACTTAAAAAAAATTACCATCACATGCTATGCAAAACCCCCCGTCAGCTCATGCCTTGGACCAAGCACCTTAATAATTGGCAAAAAACTAAATAAAAGTGTCTAATTACAAAAAATATTTTATAATACTCATATATAATTACCAACCGAAATACAATTCCTATAAAATAAACAATATTTCAGTAAAAAAAATAGAAATGTATAAATATATAAAACATGTATGTAAAAAAAGAAACTCAAAAAATAGGCAATACTGAACACATGGCAAAAACACAGTATATAAAAAATAGACAAATCCATATAGAAACAAACGAGAATTAAACAAAAATAAACCATAGAAACAAAATTAGGTATAAAGTATTACACATTATAACAGTCGCGAAAAAAGCACAATCAAAAAATTCCAAGGGATAGTAATAACTGTGGTAATTTTAAAGGTACACTTTTAAGCATAAACGTCTTTTTTTAACTACTCTCTCAGGAGAGTGATCAACAGAACTTGAAGAGGGCCCTGATTCTACCAAACCGGCGAGCATATCCTTTGTACTCACCCTATGATTCGAGCAAGTGATTGATCTAGTACAAGGTCCTCTATTTCCTTCTGTTACTCCACAATGCACATCTGGATCGTAGTCCTTGGTCACAACTTTGTTTGAAATGGAAATATTGCTGCTCCTTTTTGATTTTTTGTTGTATCTATTGCTACCTGAACTGCATGCAGCACTAGTTCCAGCCGTGCTGGTAGAACTACCATCAGTCGACAATGGTGACGGAACCGGAAGAGTATCCATTGGTGTAACTAACGGTGATTTTGCGGGACTTTTAGAAATGTGAGAATTGGTGCTATTAGACCTTGGGCTGTGTACTGATGTTACTTTTGATAATGTGCTTGTAACTCGAATTTCTGGTTTGCTAGAAGATGCAGTTGAACTTGTTATACATGAACTAACACTGGAACTTTTGGGGATTTTTGGCAGAATTACTTTTGAAACTGAAACTTTTAGTTCAGGCAGAGTATTTGAAGTTAATATTGAAGTTGAAGCTATTGGGGGAGTTTGGGCTTTCTGAAATGAAAACATGTTATACTTAAACAGCATTAGTGCATTTTAATACTTTCAAATTACCTTTGATAGAGGTGGAGGAGATGGGGTGACTCTGGATTGTGTCTTTTTCTTTTTTCCCTTACTTATCACTTTCTTTTTAGAAAGAGGTTGTTGTGCTATGTGGGGCGGCGCCAAACAATTCTTATGAGATAAAATATCACGGGGGTTAAATACAATTTTACAGACTTTGCATCGATATAATATCTGCTTTTCCAGTTTAGGAATAATACCATAGAGTGTAACATCACTTCTTGGAAGAAGCCGAACACCTGGGTCAAATTTTTCCTGATCCCCGGCTTCTTCCTCTAGAATCAAAATGTTAGATGAGGAAATTACATGCAGCAGGTTGACACATACCAATTTTCATAACAAGTTTCTTAACGGCGTCCCATTTGTGACTGTGGTCTAAATGAAAATCTTCCGAAACACTCATAATATAGTCTTCCATTTTGCAGCAGAACTTAAACCCCTTATTAAGCTGGAACAGAAAACATCAACATGCACTTTACAACAAAAATAATAGGAGTTAACCTTATATTTATTTCAACTTAAATCAAAACAATAAACTTTGAATTTAATTAATTTATTTCGTTTATTTAAGGGACAGTTTTAGTCGACAAGAAAAACATTTGTGTCAAAGGTCTTGGCCTACTACAAATTTGGTTTCATTTTTTTAATATACGATTTTAGCAACAGGATAAACACCAAAATTAAAAGAAAAAAAAGATCTATAAATGGTTCACTCAAACTTTTATAACTTCATGCATAAAGGTACCTTTTAACGACAGATTACGAGTCTACCCTATTTCCTATTAACTGATTCTAACCTCTTAAATTGACATTCCCTTATTGCCAATTATATACCTGTTTTAAGTCCTATAGTTTATACCCGGAACTTTTCGAATGCTCATTGAACTTGTTATGGTGTTAACTTAATAAACTCTTAATTTTAAGCTTAGTAAGCAGTCACAGATAAGAAGTGCTTAGTATGCATTTACACCATAGAAATTTATGGCAATGAAATAAATAAAGAAAAGTTTAAGGCCGATGATTCCCCTAAACATTTTTTTTCAACTATACGTCATTCATATCGTTTGAAATTAAAATACAGTAATGATAACCCCTTGTTTTTTTTTCTCAAAATCTCGACAGACGTGTGTTGGGTGGTGTGGTGGCAATGGAAAGATGCATCTGACGTCAGCGATAGTGGGAGAATAAACACATCATCAATTGATTTTTTATTTTAAAAATTAAATTAAAAATTTTATTTCCAAAAGCAATATCCTCTTAAACAGAAAAGCCGCCGTTGGGAAAGTGTACCTTCTCTATGAAATCGATTTCCTGAAAAATATTTAAATTAAATTAAATAAGACTAAGTCGATCTTACGTTATTGCTACAGATGGCACTATTTGCAATGGAAATACACACGCCTTTCTAGCATCCCGTAGATGGCGCCAGCACGAGGCTCAATGTAATGAAAAATTATTTTTAAAAAAACCTTTAAACAGAGGGCGTTTTTATTTTGCGTCTTATTAATGTCAAAAATTTATAATTTTCTGTTGCTATTAAGCCATTCGTTAAGCGATGGGAACAATAAATCACACCGTTTCACTGGGCTTCCAAAAATGAAAGTTCAATCTACCCAAACTTTCGTTGTAATACAAAAATATATTACCCAATTACGAAGGTACCTAAAATAATATAATGCAATATATATATAACATATGTATATACAGACATTCATTTTATAAATTACATAAATAATTTAATACAAAATTTAATATAAAATATATCTATAACGTTCTAACGGCAGGCGAAGTATAACATTTCCACTGATAAATTTTTTTGGCAAGAAGCGGTTGCGTTTTTCCTATCTATAAATTTGAATTTTTACAGCCCCTTCCGGTATTTTTTTCATAAGCGTCCAAGCTTCCATACGAGACATATTCGCGCAGCTGACTTCATTTACGGCAAGAATTTCATCCCCTACATGCAATTCTCCACATTTATCGGCCGCTCCTCCTAAAATTTTAATTTTGGACGGATTTAAACAGGTAATTTAGAAGTTAAGAATTTAATAACTTACCAGTAAATATTTTTTTAACAAGTAATGGCACATCTCCTTTTGGGGAATCCTTACCACCCTCTATGCTGAATCCAAGTCCAGCCCCATCCTTAATTAACCCCACCGTGTGTGTTGCTCTTTTCGTTACGATTTTGGCATCCACATCGAGGGCTGCAGATAAAGATGTCATTGAAGATGACGATCTCCTAGATAAATTGGATGGCACCACTTCTGTTAATTCTTCATACACGATCGTAAAACTTATGCATGGCTCCTAGAAAAAATAAAATATTACAACAATAAATAAAATGAATTAAAAAGAATAAAAAAAATTACAAAATCCTGTCATATTTGTTTGATGTGTTTTTTATATGTTGTCTCTTATCAATTTAATAAAACACATTTATTCTACTTTACTTTGTAAAGGTAAATTTAAATTAAACAATATTATATGGCTTTTAAGGAAATATTTTTATTTAATTAAATTTACTTTTTCCAGCCCCCATTGTGCCTTACCTTCAGCAATTCTGTAGCTGCGTCATGACTCAGATCGGCCGTACTCTGGCCATTTATGGATAAGATCTTGTCCCCTTTTTTTAAAGTTCCGTCCTGATAAGCCACACTACCATACCTAATTCGATGAACCTATAAAAAAAAGTAGATTAAACCCTTTATTAATTAAAATTTGCCATGCACGACTTACAGTTTTAAACTGACAGTCGCCCCCAGCTGCCAAAATAATTCCTAAATGGGTTTCTATGGAGTCCCGATTCAAATGAAGCGTCTTCTGAGTGACGATTTCTTTTTCCGCTTTTTTTATTGGGTTTTCTTCTGATTTTTTTCCCGAAATCTCTTTATTTTGCGTCTGCCTTCTGGCTGGGATCGGTTTTGGAAGTTCAACTAACGGTTTTGTTTCTAACTCCTTAGAATTCGCCTTCACAGGTCGCGTTCTAATCTCAGTTGTAACGAAATTTTTTGGGAATACTGGCAGAGAATTGGCCGCGGCATTTTCAAAATTCTCCTTGAGGCTTTTTACGTTTACCCGTTTATTATTGCTCGAACTATATTTGCTTAAAACGCTTTTTCTAATTTCACCGATATTTTCGGTTTTCCCTTTTGGAGATGACATCGTAATACTTCGTTGAGCTGGTTCTGGCACTTCTGTAATAAAATTCATCAATAAATAACATCGTAAATGACTAAAATTAAAATATCGCTTAATAAACTGTACAAATACAGAGTGTTTTTTAAGCACGTCTCTGAACTTCCGGAGGTGGTTTTAAGGCAGCAGGTTCGGAAATTATTTAGTAGGTAAAAAATTAAAAAATAAATAAGAACTAAAAGTTTCTTCTTAGTTCTTAATTATTTTGATAAATGGATTTTCATCAAGTAAAAGCCACCTCAGTTCAAAAAATTAAAACGGAACAAAAGTTTGGATTCGTACACATCGTCTGTAACAGGCTTTATAAATGAAAAACCAGAGTATTTCTTATAAAACGCAATCGTAAACGTAAATTATTGTTAACGTCGTACCTTCGGATGTGTTGGTCATGGTTGCCGTTTGTTCTTCATCGCCATTAACTGCGATCGCATTAGCAGTTTTCAATACAACAGGGATCGCTGGTTCGACTTGATACTGTTGGACGACTTCCACCTCTTCTTTCACCTCTTTTTCTTCCTCTTCGTACTTTCTCTGGATTACAGGCGAACCTATTTTTAGATCTTTACCGCTACTACATTTTGCCGATGCCAAAATATTTTTTCTATTAACAGCTTCGACGCTAAATGGTTTCAACAAGCGGTTTTGGTTGTTCAACCTATCGTCGGATGTGGGCGACAGAGGTGGTGAACACCTGGAGTTGTAACTGGATTGGCTGGAACTAACGGCCGAATCGTTATCGCTCTCGTCGTCGTGCTTGGTGGAATCTTGGGCTTTAAATTTATCAATTTTCCTCGAGCTTACGTAATCGAAACTGCAATCAGACCTTGTAGGAGATGCGATACTCTCGAGAGATTTTGGATCATCGTTGGTTGTCCTGGAGCCGTTATTATCCAGAAACTTGGTGTTTAAGTAATTTTCGTAGATGCTTTCGCTGCTTATTTTTCTGATGGGTGATGGATAAACCTGAAGACTTTTTCTTTTAAAAGCTGGAGAATATTTGGGAACCGTAGTGGTCGACCAAGACGGTAGCACCAAAGGCACGTCTCTCGTTATTGGCTTGGATGAATTGTCAACACTGATATCGGATTTGGATGACAGAACTATCGTTGGGCCGGAATTTTTGATTTCAGGTATATCACAAGGGGTGATTTCATTTTCAGATGCCTCTGGGATCACTAATCCTTTCAGTTTGGATAAACGCCGTTTCCTCTGCTCGGCTAAAGTGTTCCACTTGGAGTGTTTCTCCTTTGAAAATATAGACATATCTATTAAACTCTGAGATCTCGTGTGAAGTAAGTTGGTTTTCGGCGTTTCAAACTTCTCCTCCTCAGACTCGCTCATATCTTGCCTCAAATCGTAATTGGAGCTGCTTATGGTTCTATCTAATGGAACCGGTTTTATTTGAGTCAAGTCGTTCCATGAAAAGTTAAAACTACCGGTGGGTTCGGTGGGTTTTTCTTTAAAATTGTTTGACGTCTCTATGAAATCCGGAAACTCATGTCCATCCGGGGGTTGGCGTGAATCACTCGGTAGAACTTCCATAAGGTCCGGATTATCTGGAATAACCGACAACGACATCGTAAGGTACTGATTAGATTTTCGTGGTACACTCGCATATATCGGCAATTTTACTATCTAATAATCGATGCTAATCCTACGAAAACTATGTTTAGCCAATGCAAACAAATGACAGTGATAGTAGATAGTGACATCTTGACACATATTTTCTAAACGAAAAATTTCAGTTTGAGATCTGAACAGTTTCTTTATAGGATCAAAATAACAAAGCATAAATCTAATATTTCTTTTTATAGCAATTAATTAATTTATAAGAAAAATAATTGTAAAATTCAAACCAAATTGCTTTATGTCCAAATATTCTCTTTCAAGCTTATAACAAAATATTTTCACAATGATTTTGAGATTTTAAAAAAGCCCACGCAAAAAAATAAATAAATTTAGAAATGATTTGAGAATGTTGAGAATATTTTGATTATACTTTATCGATTGAGGCTTGAAAATATTGATTATTAAAAAAATGATTTTTTCAATTAATTTAGCTTGAAGGCAAATCTGAATACAAATACTAAAGTTTTGAAATTATGTAATTTAATTGCAATTCAATTATTGCAATTATATTACAATTTCACAATGCTTAATTTAAAATACTTTTAAACCTTAAGGTGTTCCACTATTAATCCTGAATTAATTTAAGTGACGGCGGCAGTTAATTCGCTAATCGTACCTAACAGAAAGGAGTGTTGTTTATTTTCTTGCCCTCGCAAAATAATTTAATTTTTAAATTGCCAAAATGATCCAATTGCAAATATTTTGCTTCTGTTACTGCTATTAATCCGCTAAGTTAGAAATCTGTGGTTTCTAAGTTTTACAGTCCGATCGATAACAAAAAAAAAACAAAAACTAAAACATTCCTTTCACAGCGCTGTTACTTAACAGTTTTAACAGTAATTAAAACTACCTGAGCGTACGCTACTTCTGCAAAAATATGTTTAACACGAAAGGGCGTTAACTTTTTTATTAATCGCGTATTGTAAACATTGGCGATGAAGCAGCTGTTGTATTCGACTGCAAAACCGTACCATAAATTCTAATCGGTTCCGCACTTCATAAAATTGTAGTTTCATTTTACGATCGAACAGATGCAATTTTGAAAAGGAAACATGCTTTAAATATAAACCCCGAAACAAATTAGCAATACGTGTTTATTAAAAGATATTTGTTAAAGATGCTATGAGATCATCTATTTCTAAAAGCAACATATTAAATTTTAAATTAATTAGTCACTGACAGTTGGTTTGCCTATTTCTTAATAGTAGCAATATTGTTTCTGCTTACAGGCTACGCACGTACACAATAAAACTGGTTTGAGTGATTATAACAGTATTATAATAGTCATTATTAAGTTGGCTGTACTTACAAGAGAAAACATGAAAATTTATCCAAAAATCTAAAGAAAATCACTGCGCAATTGCATACGGTTCATGCACTGTCAACAAAACATCGTAAAATAGACAAACTGCGATGGTAATATGAATAAAGCATGTATCACTTTGTTAAACAGTATTTTATGACGAGACTGCTACATGGAGGAAAGTCTATATATTTTTTACTTGACTAATCTATGAGTAATAAGATATTTATTATCACTTAATAAGCAAACATTTACGGAACTGATCAGGTACATCGGATTTTAATGATTTTGCGACAAAAGACGATCATTTCAACTTAAATAGAATGTGACGAGTCCAAGTATTTGGACCTTCTATCAGATAATCGACTGTAGATATTTTAGAATATTTTAAAAGCTAGAAACAGCTCGGAGATAAACACGGAATTTCATAAATGCCGAGTGTCCTACATTAATACCGATAAAACAATATTTAAAACGACTGCTTTTGCTTTTGATATTAGCAAAATTCAAAAGTTATTCATTCGCAATCGGCAACTATAATTTGTATTAAGATTTTTTTCAATAGTTGGTTTTCCTTTAATTTGCTGCCGCTATCGTCTTTCGGTCACACTGTAATTTAAAACAAAATTCCGACAGTATTATTTTTTCAATTATCGCATTGACAATAAAAACAAAACGCACATGTTAGTATACTGACCGTCGAGAACATTAAAACGCGTTATTAAAATTGTTTTAAATAATTATAATTTATAGGTCGACTCTTAACTCGCGCAAAACTTATTTAATTAACTTAAATATTTCAAACGACTTTGAAGCCCAACCTTTTAGTGTACGTATTATCATTCTTGTGATTAGTTCTTGCTCTGCATTCATTTTACTTTTAAATCAAAATGCAAAGCCTTAAAATACATTCATTTACGGTTTTCCAACGGTGCCTTGCATATGTCGCCACATATTACCATTTTGGTATTTGCTAATTTTGTTGTGAATAACATTATTTGTTATTTGTACGAAAAGTAAGCGAAGGCAAAGTATAATACACGGTTTGCTCTAAAAAAATCAAAATTTAAAATTGCGAAAACAATGAGGCAGGCTTAAGAATAAATTGGTAACGAGATGGATCATCAAGTATTTAGATTGTGTCACGCGATAAGTTGTAAAAAGGCAATCAGGAAAATCACAAAACTTTATAAATGTAAAAAGAGCGGCTTGGAAACTACGACAGTCGATAAACATTTTTTTTAATTCCTCATAATCGCTACTTGAAATATTTTGAAATAAAACTCACCCAAGTTTAGCGTATCTTGCCGAATCACTCACACCATACGTGTCGAAAAAACAACAAAATAATCACAAAAAATAGGAACTGTCGCAAGCCGGTTGACTAGGAGAGATAATAAATTTTTTTAATGTTTAATTTAAGCACTAAAACGAGCCCAACAGTTTTCACACCGATTTCAAACCAAATTCCGAACAACGTCTATCCGCACTTTATTCTATTCTCGTATCGGGTTCGCTTCTTTTTGTTTTCGTTACACTACCTCTTCCCAACGCTTAAAATCTCACGTTAACTAAAGAGTTACCGGGTTCGAATTAATTTGATTGACGATATAGTTTTTCGGATGGAGTGCAAAAGCAGGAACGTAAGCAACAACGTAGAAAGAAAGAAATGGCAAGGCATCGCAGGTCAGTGGACGGTGCAAGTCAAGGGCATCCAGCCAAGTTGTGCGGTGAGTTGTCGATCATACTGCTGCTGCTGCTGCTGCTGGCTGCTGCTGCCGCCGCCGCCGCTGCAAACCGCGAGCAGAAGTTCTTGTTCGGTAGAGGAAGCAACATTAAAGCCTCTACTACCCACTTAATTATACCCCTCAAGGTCGCGCGGTTTTTTTATCATCTATTGACATCTTTCCTACTGACACGCAATTGTTTTTTCAAAACACCCTGTCCGAATCCGGGTGGACTTGTAAAATATATACGATACGTCCTAAGGTAAAGAGTGCCTAACCCGACAATTCAAAAATATAACATATAATTAAAAACATAATTATGCCTCTAGTAGTAGTCGAGTTGGTTTTGTTAGTCTTTTTTTATCGTCTATTAACATAGTTCCTACTGACATACAGTTGCTTATTTTTAAATGTCACCTGGGTAAGTCTAACTATTTTTGTAAGATATGTACGATGTGTTCCAAGGTAAAAACTCCCAAATGTGCGATACAAAACCCCACTGCAAATACTAAAACTCAATTACCCACCCCTCTAAGAAAGCTGCTTTTTGTTGTTCGTCGTTCTTTTTTTATTATCTACTAAGATCGCTCGCACTGACGCGTAATTGTTTTTTTTTTCAAAAATTTTGATATTGATATTCTTGCTTAAATTAAAGCTAAAAAGTGTCGTTCTTTGTTTTTATTAGTCTGTCCGTTAACTCTGTCTGTTAATATAGTTCCTACTGTCGTGCAAATGTTTTTTTAAAAATTGCCCTGTCGAGTCTAAGATGTATAAGATGTATCCCAAAAAGTGCCTGAGTCAAAGATTTAAAATACAAAACTTCGATCTGCTGCTATGACACCCCAATCTGCAAGTACTATATCTCTGTTACCCATCTAATTATGTCCCCAAGAGGGCTGCCTGTTTTTTTGTATTTAATTTTTTATCGTCTATTAACATCGTTAATACTGACACGCAACTAATTTTTTAATATACGATGCGCCTAAACAACGAGATCCTTCCTGCAATTGTTTTTTTCAAAAATAACATCCTGGTGACCACAGGTTTTTTGTAAGATATACGATGTGTAACAATCTGCAAATAATTAAAGAATTTATTACTCGCCTTTCTATCTTTTTTTTATTTCTTTTTTTATCATTATGAAAACATAGCACCATAGCACATAGCACCATAGGAAGCGTTTCATAATAAAACAAGCTATGCGATGGGAAAATAGAATCATACAAGAGGAGAAGAGGAATGTTTTGGTTAAAAAAATATTTTTTCGGAATTAATATACACATCAAACTAAATTTAAAACATAATTGAACTTCCTGTATTTTTTGTCTGTTGAATATTTAAACAACCTCCGATCGTTATAAAGTATTTAGCATCAATGACTCAAAAAAAGTTTCCACTAACTCGTATTTTTATTTAATAAATATGACATATTTGGCATATTTCCCACAGACATCTAAGGTGACGTTAGTTCGAATCTAAGAAGATTGAACAAACTAAATAATCCGGTAAAAATCAAATCAAAATGCTACAAGACCGTATACAATCAGAGCTCAACCTTTGTTGCAATCAAGCTGCAAGGCACTTCCGTGTAGAATTAGTCATTAAACCTTCCACATATGAGTTTTGAACGGACTTGTGGGTGGCATGGAAAAAGAACTGGTTTTATAAGGTCAATGCAAAAAGTGTAACAAGCCGCGCAAGGATGATATATTATAAACAGTTCTAAGACGCGATAAGAATGTTTAATGTAAACTGTTTCCGAGAAAAATGCAGCAAATATTTCGCTTTACTGTACAACCTGGTAATATTTACATATCAAATTGCTCTCGGTGCTTAAAAAAAGTGAAAGCCTTCACGTTTTGATAATAAAACCACATTTATCTTCATTGACCCGTTTTTTTTCAATATAACTGCAAAAGTTATTCTTATTGTGTACATTTATCTGCCACAACATGGTATTTATTTTCGAAACACGGTAATGTCATCCATTTTAAAATTTATTCTCGACTGTTTTCAACAAGAGTAGCTGGCATACTGTGGAAGCTATGTGTGTGTTTTGATTTTTCGATTTTCCACAGATATTTCTATATAAAAAAAAATCGACAATTTGATAATAATTATAATTATATGTTTACTAAAACACCTTCAAAAAGTGAATCCTTTTTCATGCTGTTTTTTTTTGTACTAAAGCTACATATCGCCTTCTCAATTAATTTGGTTGGTTGCGGAAATTGCGAATTAAAAATATTACCGCCCGAGTAACAGTAACCAAATGCCAAATTAAAATTTTTGCAGGACCAGAATTTCTGTTCGCATGTCCGCGTTAAATACATTATGTTGGTCACGCGTTGACCTGCTAATGAATTTAACGGACCAAGATGTTAAAAAGAGTTTTATGAACCATTTTGTAAAAAACAAATGAGCAATCCCGTTTTACCGAAAAATTTACACTAATAAGTTCTTACCTCTGGAGATATTTCAAACAATGAAGTCATTTTTGTTCAGATAATGCGGGATAGGTAAACTGTGTGGGGATATGTTCGAAAATTTTCAAATTTTTAAAATTTCATTTGAATATCGCCAAAAAGTCCAACCATAATATCGGAAACCTTTGACAACATTTACAAGGAACCTTGCCACTTAAAAAAATATGAAACGAAAAATGCACAATTCGCTGTTATCTAAATAATCTGATCTGTTAAACATTCGTTACCGCTTTGAATACTTTTAGTTTATTTGCCGAAACGATTATTTTCAAAACGCGCACCTACATTTATTTATATCGAACAACGAATAATTACCCTACCTGTTATTTAGATAAGGATAAAATAACTTTTTGGGAAACATTTTGCGATAAATTTTTCGACAAACTCGCCGTTAAATAATAAAAAAAAACTTGTTTGCCAATACAACATAACCATATAGAAAGTGCGCTTATATTATCTGCTTTGGGCACGTTTTTATTGCAAAGCTTCCTGGAAATTGATCCATTTTCAAGTTTGTTGTAACCGTCACGATTTCAAGAAATATACATTTTCATTGCTCTATCGGTTTCCTGTAAAACGCGCGATTACATAATTTTGTGTCCCCATTTAAAATACAAAATTTCATTCATAAAATGTTGCGGGGGAAAATTAATGTTGGAAACCGTCCAAGCTTATTTATTGACCCGATTGTTATTTATACTGGTTCAAGTCCCGGCGCATTCACCATTACTTACATTTATATTCTGTGGACGTGATGCGTTGGTTGTCACTTTCTAAGGACTTTTCTTCCATCGTATTTAGTTCTGAACTCTCCACTGTTACTTTTGGTACGGATGCTATCCCACTAAAATAGAAAAGATTCGTTTTTAAGGTGTTTCTTTTTGTAAAGGACAATGTTGATAAGTGCAAGGAAACTCAAAAACATAAAAAAAAAAATAATACGACGGTCTCGGAGAGTAACCTTACTGATACACGAGTTTCTGAATAACTTTTTTTTTATACGGCAATTGAATCAAACTGGCAAGCAATAATCATACGATTTTATAGAATGTTATTCGATTTTTTATGCTATGCTATGCTATGCTTTATTTCTTAATGCAAGAGAGTTAATTTATTATATTTAATTAAGTTAATTTATTAAACTGTTAAACCTAGCGGTATTTGCTATATTCTATAGAGGGAGTATTATATCGATGATGCCTGTCAAGGATCTTGCGAGTGGCAGGTAGACGATTAGGTAGTTGACCTACCTGTGCCTTAATCTTTAAAATTAGAATTATAGTTGCTTTCAGGCAGTTGTCCAAATTTGCTCTTGAATATGCCTAGTGTTTCTGAATTTGTTTATAAGAGACGGATTAGTAAAAATAAATGTGTTTAAAGTTCTTGGGCACCAAAACTCAACAATTCGGAGTTACAAAAAAATGATTGGAGTTAGACAGTCGACAATATACCGACTTGCACGAGGATAAACGTTGGCCTCATTAGGCCATCAAAGAGAAGAACAGGAAGAAAAGAAACTGTAATAAATCAGGATGAAAACACTGCCAAATAGAAGAATAAGAAGAAGAATATTTACTACAATTAATGTATTTTCATATTATTCTTACTTCTATACCAGTTTTTATTAAGTTAATCTTAGGATAATTAATATCTCCATTATTTTCATTCGCCAAAAATCGTCCTTCTATTCTATGCAAAAAAATGTAAATACGGAAAACTATAATTGCAATTTATCTTAACTTTACGATATAACCTTTAAATTGTCCACCATATTTATTAATCCCTATCATTGTAAATTTACACTTTCTTATTCTCTCGCATTAAGAAATTAAGTATAGAGTTAATTAATGTTAAACTGCTTTTAAAACCATTCATTGCTTCAAATTCTTTAAAAAAATCTATGGCTTCCTTCGAAAATGATCAGCCCAAAGAAATAAAAAAAAAATCCTACTCTCTATGCGAATCACATTACCCATTTGGACGACTGTAAATCAATAAGTATGCGAAGGATTGATGTTTAAATGATTTTTTATACCATATTTGGTTCTGCTTTCAATTCCTTAGGTCTGGTAAACATCGAGCGATCTCATATATAAAAAAATTGTGGAATATTGCGACACCTAAAAAAATTACCCAAAGTTAGAAGAAATATCTTGTCCTCCCTCTTCTTCATCCTCCCCTATCGTTGACAGATGGGACGACATAACCCACTTAGTGCCGAAGAGATCCATTCCATTGGATATAAAATCCAGATCGTCGCCTTCGACGCATTCGTTCATCGAATAATCAAAGTCGAATCTCTCACACTCTAAAAACCTTTTCAATGTATCCACTGAGCTTTCCATATCGGATTTGTTCGACGATTTGGGAACAAAATCCACCAGCCTAGGCAAAGTGCTTTTACCCTCGCCTGCAACATGTTTGTTCACTTTATCTCGCGATCTTGGTGTTTTAATTGGCTTTTTAGTTGTATCAGGAGATTTTTCGATACACATCTCTTCCATTTCGCATCCGGAATGGCGACAATGATCTGCACCATCGACTATGTTATTGTTCTCTTCTATCAACGCTATTTTCTTGTCCAAATTCGGCATATTGTAATCGTCTTCCTCAAATTCGTTGACGATATAAGAAAGGTCGAGTTGTTTTTGAATGCTTGTCGGTGTCGACGGTAAACTACCAGCAAAACTGGACGTTGTAGATGCGAACCTATCCAGCACGGTAGATATAGTGCTTCCAGTATCGTCGGATTCGCTTAAACTTTGAGTCGACTCTTGAGAAAATAAATCCAAATACACTTCAGCATCTGGAGGATTGCCTTCCGACAAACGGCGACAAACATCGGGGGAATATTTTCGCCGCCCGCTATTCCGTGGAGACTGCAGCCTCGCACCTTTGCACATCAAAGACTCCTGTTGTTTATTGGTGGGCACTATGGCGCTGTTTTCGTGATTCTTGTGAAGTTTCCGGTGAATTTTCCGAGGTGGCACCGGCGGTGGTTTTTTTTCTTCGCTAACAATCACAGGAAGATCTTCCGGAACCTTCACATTAAACGAATGCTTCACCAAAAGCTTAATGGCCACGTTGGACTCTTTTAAAAGTCGGACGCAGTCTATCCTAGTCATACTGTTAACTGGCACCGAATCTATTTTCAAAACTTCATCCCCTTCGACCAACTGACCCCAAGAACTTTGTACTCTGGACGCGGGACTATCGGGAGCGCAGGACTGGATAAATAACCGCTTGACGAACTCGTGAGCTTTGGTTCCTCCTTCGAATTTCAATCCGAAACCAAGTCGTTCTCCTGGAAGTCGATAAACGATAACTTCTTCGGTTACATCTTTGATGATTTTGCTTTCTTCGTTGCCAATGGTGAGGACGGTTACGAATTCCGAAGCACCGTCAGCGATTCTCTGCGATTTCGTATCGGTACCCACTGATACCACCGTAATAAACGGATCTTGGTAGTTCTGCGACATTCTTTGTGGTTCAATTACTTCGTGGAATGATCTGGAATAAAAATAACTTGTTCTAAATTGATCCCAAAATATAAGTCGCTGATTAATCTTTCACTCAGGTAACAAAAGTAATATTACATTTAGGTTTAACATCCACTATCAAAGCATTGTGAGCAAAGTTTTTAGAGCCCTACGGTTCACAATTAGAAACTTTTGAGTAGTTTGTGATAAAGACCGGATTTAGAGAATGCCTCTGTTATTTAAACACCACAGGCACAAGTTAGTTGTGATATGATAGGGCACATGATGTAAGTCCTGACCTATGACCTATAACCCAATGTTGAGTGAATCCAACATAAAAAGATCGAATACCAGAAGGGTTATGCGATGTTTTATTTATATATTATATAAAAAAATATGTTTTAAGTACAAGCACAGTTATTTAATTGATTGAGTTTTATTCCATATTTGGAAAATTGTGCTTAGAAATACACAACAAAAACAATGGATAAGATTTTGATATAGATTTATTTAATAGAAATTCTCTTGTCATAAGATATTTCTTTTAAGTAGCAGTTATTTTTACTAGTTTTTAGTCCTTTTTTGTGCAATCGCCTTACTTTTTTAATCTAACTTAGTGCGTGTGTAAGCACCGTTGTATTGTAAGTTGCTATGTGCAGGAGGATAAATAAAAAAATAAAATAAATTACAATATACCAAAACGTACAAAATAATATTTCTTTATCCATCTAAAATATAAAAAACATAAAAAAAAATTGCAAAGGAAGAATGGAATTTTGAATTTCTTTTGGAGGTCTAGTTCGCCACCCTCTAAACCTCTAACTAACTGTTATCCGGGAAACTTGCACAAATGTTTTGTTTTGTTTTTTAGTTGTTTTTGGTCAAGTGATAGTGTTAACGATTTTTATATTTCCATTTGCTATACAAATCGCAAATTTTTGAAATTTTCTATATATTATTTGAAAATCGTCCCTTTTAAAGCAATTAAACAATTAAGCATTTAACTTCGTTTTTTGTCCTTTTAATTCTTATGAATACTGTTTCACATATCAATGGAAATAAAAAAAAATTCTCGTGTTTTCTCAATTTGATTAAGATAAAAAATAATAGAAAATATGTAAAACATTCAAGAATTCGAAAAATAGATATCAAAAATATTTCAAAAATAATAATAATAAGGACAATACCAAGTTGCATAATTCAACCCAGCTCTTCTTCTCACATGTTTGCAGGTCTGTTATTAGATATTATTATAAAAATGAAGATTGAACAAATATTTAATTAGAGTCCATTGAAAAAAATACCAAATTTTGAGGAAGCACGAATTTTTCTTCTAAAGGTTTACAAGCTAATTTGGCTTAAATTAGTAACTGGAATTTTCTGTTAGATAAGTGGAATTTTTAATAACTGTTTACTTCTAAATAAATAGTAAAAAATGTATCAATTTAAAAGTAAGATAAAAAAGTAGTAAATGGTAAGTAAACCCGTCCAAATAGCAATCTTCAGACAATCGATCTTGCGATGCTGTGACCTCCTTAATACTTCTTCAAAACATCGAAGTTCCCAGTACCGGAACGTTAATTTTTAACATTTCTATTCAACAATTTAATTTTATTTCACCGAAATGTATCGATATAACCGTAAAAAGAAGACTGTGGGAAAAAGCGTGGGCCTAATATAAATGTGAAGATGACATAACCGGTTAATTGTCGCAGGTTCTGGCAAAATTAAAATGCTTAAATCGTGATGCCATATGTTAAAAGTGCGCAGAGAAATCAATGCCGGTAAATCTTTCTTGCATTGTGCGAGAGAAACTGGGAATTTGATTCGAAGAAAGTACCTAATATAAACAGCCTTAGGTAATAAATTTCGATGCAAACAAAAGCGACGAATCGCTTTGGCGTTTGATTTTTTGTTTTTGTGCAAGCCTGCGCTGGGCGTGTAAACTAGGTGGTGTTTTTACTGTCCGAAATGTCGATTGGTTCCTAAATCGGCTAGCCCCACCTTTTCAATTGGATTACTTAATCAACGTTTCCGACTATTCGCAGTATTTAAAAATGACGCTGCCGTCAAAATACACCTGTTAACCCGATCCAAACAATATAAATATTTATAATTGAATAATACCAAAACATATACTTACACAACCAATCGTTCCGCTTTTCAAAAATTATAACCGAATTACCGATAAATTCAGTAGGCCAATTAATTCACAATCATGTTTCTTTAAAGTAGAAATTTTATCCTTTGCCGCTAAATGCACCTTTGTGACATAAATATGAAAGGAATTTAGAACGTTTAAATATCAAATCACTTTAAGGTAAATTTACACTCGTTCACTCGCATATGAATATCATATTTTCACACGGCCGATGAGACACGGACGTCGATGAAATTAAAAAAAAAAACATTGACCGAAAGAATCTAAAACATATTTCAAACCTGCATTAAACTGGCCACGATTAAGGCAGGTACCTCTCTTAACGGTACCCGCGGTATCAAATTAAATATTGAATACAGCACGCGGATTTACATGGAACCCAACACTACTACAATCAAATGTTACTTGTAATTTATGCGGACTTACATTTAATTTTTTCGCACACATTTTCGCCTTGCGATTGATTCCATGCGGCTTTAGATCTGCCGAACTTGCGGGGCACTCTTTCAGAGATTGTAAACAACTGTTTTCACCTCTTTGGGAGACCCAGTTGGAAGATATGACCTCGTATAGGCTCGCATGTCCTCGCGTTACAACCTGGCATTTATCTTCAGGCACTCTTCATACTTATCAAGATTTTTAACTGGGTTTCGCGTGAGTCTCATATAATTCTTCCAAAAATGCAGCCTAAAAAATGGTAATGTCACGAGGATCGTTATACACTCTTTAAATTATTGCAAACCCATTTTTATTTATTATTTTTATTATTCATAGAAATGTTTGGAAGGTAATTTGAGAAAATTAATTGGCTATACGATAATTATTCTAGTCAATAGTATGTATCGAAAATTAACAGAATATAATTTAATTAGTTATACAACTATTTAATGCCCCCAATAAATATTTTTTTTGAAATGGACACAATAATGTTCAGACATATAATTAAACAAATAGATTTAAGAAAAACATACATTTAAACTGCTAAACATATTAATTATGCATTCATTTATTAACTCATTTTATTATCTTTTTTTTTTCAGGTACAGTGTATTAAATTGTTATTTTCTTCAAATATTTAAATTCATATTGTTTAATATTTGGGCGACTATGAATTCGAATTTGATGATAGTATGACTCTGTCTTGTAGATGGCGCCACGTACATGTTTTTTCACCTGACGATTATAATAATTATAAATTTTATTGTTTATTAAATCTTATAAAAATGTTTGCAAAATATTTAGAAAAAATTAAATTACCATACGACAGCTTAATTTAGCCAAGATTTCTACATCCAAAAGTCAATAGAATTTAATTACTTGTGTATTTAATGCCCCCGAATAATCGATCTTTTAAAAATGGATACAATAATGATCTAAAAAACGCATCATTAATTAAAAAGATTTAAAAAACATAAATATTTAAAATATCAAACACATTAACTTATTAATTCATTTTAATATAGTTGTTAATTAATAATGTTGGCTAATTTATAAGAAATGATTTTTATTAAATTAATAATTATAGTTTATAAAACACACAAACCATCTGAAAGATTGCATAACCATTTCTAAATACGGTATATATGTATATATACCTAACCTTAAAATTCATCTTGAAGAACTAGTTAAAATAATATCTGGAAGAATGTTGTCTGAAGAAGGTAATACACATATATTTGTTTGAAAGAAAAAATCAGATTGTTTTTTAGAATACACCAAAAAATTATGCGTTATTGAAAGCGAGTTAAAGAATCTAGAGGAGGAACAATGTAAAATAATGAATAAAATAAAAATATTGAAAGGGGCTAAAGAAGAATTGCAACAGGAACGAAAGAAGGCTAGAATAAAAAATAGACCCGAAGCAACTCAATGGATTGAGAAAAAATTTAGCTGGTCTGATAGAGTGGATGAGCTTTTAAAAGAAAAATTTAAATTTAAAAACTTTAGATCAAGACAATTGGCTGCTATAAATGCAACACTGTCCGGGAAGGACGTTTTGTTAGTAATGCCAACAGGAGGGGGGAAAAGTCTTGTTTATCAGTTGCCGGCTCTAATATATAAAAAAATTACATTGGTGGTATCCCCTTTAATATCTTTAATTGAAGATCAATTAATAGCTTTAAGGAAACTAGGCATTGTAGCGGCCACGGTTAACAGTAACTCATCTAAAGATGAAAAAAAAACTGTGTATGCTGACATGGCCAGTAAGAAGTTAAATGTAGTGTATGTTACTCCAGAATGGGTAGCTAACAGTAAAATATTTATGACATACTTACAAAAATGCTATTCCCAAGGATATTTAGACAGAATTGTTATAGGTATTAATTACACTCAAATCTTAACATTGTTAATACAATTTTAATAATTATAGATGAAGTTCATTGCTGTTCAACATGGGGCCATGATTTTCGACCTGAATATAACCATTTAGGGTTTTTTAAGTCCATGTTTCCTGATATACCTATCTTAGGATTGACTGCTACGGCCACAATGAATGTCTTGGTAGACATTCAAGACATGCTTAGCATTAAGGATGCCTTAATAATCACAGCACCATTTAACAGACCAAATTTATTCTACCAAGTAGTTCATAAACCACCCGACAAAGATGATTGCTTACAGTATTTAGAGAATCTACTTAAGAAAAAATATTGCGGCAAATCAGGAATTATTTATGCCGGTACAATTAAGGAATGTGATGAACTAACTGAAGGTTTGCGAGCAAGGCAGCTAAAAGTAAAGCAGTACCATGCCCAAATGGAAGGAGATGCCAAAAAGATTATTCACCAAAAGTGGTTGGAGAACAAATACCAAGCTGTGGTAGCTACAATAGCATTTGGAATGGGGATTGGTAAGTTCCCCCTACATGTCTTTTTTTCCGGGAAAGACTACAATATCCACTATTTTAGATAAACCGGATGTGAGATTTGTGATTCATTATTCTGTTCCTAAAAGTATGGAGGGCTTTTACCAAGAGAGTGGTCGTGCTGGAAGGGATGGTGAAAAAGCAGATTGCATTTTAATGTTTGCTTTAAGCGATTTCCTTCGAAACATGAGCATGTCTTCATCTAAAACTGAAACAAAAAATGCCGTATCTATATTAGAATATTGCTCAGATCGTAGTCAGTGTCGCAGAACTATCATAGCTCATCATTTTGAAGATCCTTGGAAGCAAAGTGACTGCAATGAAATGTGCGATTTTTGCATAAATCCGCCGAAATTAGTGACTTATAATATCTATAATTGTCTAAAAGATATTTACAGTATAATTGATTTATCGGTTACCAAAGATATTAACCTGACTTTAAAGAAACTGATGGCGTCCTGGTTTCAAAAAGGATCTAAAGACATAAGAATAACGTCAATTAAAAGACCATTATTTTCTGAAGAACAAGGTCAACACATTATAGGTGTTTTAATTCAAAAAGAATTATTAAAAATTAACAAAGGGTACACAGGCTATACTACTCTGGCATACATTGGCCGCGGATTGAAAGACATTCCGGCAGATAAGATTTTGATGCACTATCCTAGTGACCTAAAGGGGGTTGAACTCTTAGAAAGCAAGGAGAATTCCAGTTGTAAGAAGAGAAAACTTAGTTAATGAAAGATTTATTTTTTATGTAATACATTGAGACGCAAATACCTGACGTGAGAAACGTGTGTTTTAATTTATTTTTGTATCTCGTTTGAAATAAAAATTTGTGCAGTAAAACACACTTTACGACGCCACAACATTCTTTGACGTTCACTCTCACATCAGCTTTACGCTAACATCAATGTATCATCATTTTTTTTTATATAATTTTGTATACAGACAATAGGGTATCGACAGATTCAATACAGTCGCTCTCGCTATTAGAATTCAAATTCGTTTTACCCTAATTAGGAACTTTACTTGAGCGCCACATAAACCGACCAACTACAAAATACATTTAATTTTTGAAGTTTTCGAGCAGATCTTAATTCCACTAGAATTGGTAGATTTTTATTAAAATTTAGAGATCAAAATCATGCTGAATATTCCCCTAATTTAGCGAGACTTTCAAAAAAATATACCCTTTAATATGGGATTAATTTTTTAAAAGTTATCTAAAGACAAATGAAGTAATACGGACACATAGGCTAAATAATAATAACGGCTTTATTGTCAACTATTGCGTTGTAAACAAGTACAATTAAAATATCACAAATTATTGCAAACAATGTTGGCAACATGTAATAATACTATATGCTACAAAAAAGGATATAGGGATTTTATTTAAGCCATCCCTGGAATAGGAGGATCTTCTTCTTGGTGGACCTTTTTAGAAGCTTGCTCGTCCCATAGCTGTAGCATTTCTATAATCGGACTGTGCCCGAAAGCCAAAGCTTCATCTAGTGGAGTTTTGCCCCACCTATCTTTTATATCATACCGTACGCTGCATTGTTTTAACAAAAATTCAACACAATTAACGTGACCTTCAGCAGCCGCTAAATGTAGAGCTGTTCGTCCATCGTAATCTGCTAAACTCATATCCATACCATTTAGCATGTGTCTAAAACGTCAAAATATTCAATGGAATGAAACATATCGCCTTCGACCCTGACCTCCTTAATGCTGGTAAATCACCAGCTGCAGCGGAGAACAACAAATTCACCACATTCAACCCTTTGGTTTCGAATTTATGTTTCCGTGGGTCAACTTTGTTTGGAGCGTGTCTTAAGTTGTCGTAGGGGTGAAAGTTGAATTTTTTTATGAGCTCTTCACAGAATTGTACCCCTCGACAACTATTACCCAAAGCATCTAACGGTGGAGACCATAGACAGATGCCCATCACGTTGGGAATTACTACCAGTAAAGCCCCACTAACTCCAGATTTCGTAGGGACACCGACTTTAAATGCAAACTGTCCCGAATAATCGTACATTCCGCAACTATGCATGAGAGATAAAACATCGCGTACGCTTTCCGGTTTCAGTACTTTTTCTTCAGTTAAAGGACAAATGCCGCCGTTTGCTAAGGTGGAAGCCATTACTGCTACTTGATCGCACGTAGCTTCTAAGGAACAACACTAAAATTGACATTGTACATTTAAATCTGATTTTTGATAATCCGTAGAAACTCACTTGAAAGTAAAAATCCATACACTCCTTGAACTTGCAATTTTGAGGGAAGCATTTATGTTCTTTCATGTAAAATCCCAGCGCGTAATTTCGATCCGCGCATTCTCTTTCCGAAAGAAATACAGCGTTATTAAAACCTAAATCTTCATTGCCCGCCAATCTCTACATGAAAAACATCGAAACACACTCTAAATATGACCATTTGATTTAATTAGTTAAAAAGTACCTCGAAATGGTTCATGGTGAAATCAAATTTTTCCGCTAATGTCATTTCAGGCGCGGCAATTGTTTTCAAAATGGCGCATATTACGATGGCTCCTGCGTTTATCATGGGATTGTGTGGCTTTTCTAAAATAAAATTAAGCGATAGATAATAATTAAGGGTGGAATATAATAAAAATATATGAAATATTCCATTCAATTCATTCATCACGTTTATGTCGAGACATATTTACCGGTTGATGTGTATGGTTTTTTCTAAATAAAAATGATGCAATAAAATAAAAAAGTGGAAAACTTTTATACGCATTGTGAAACAAATTTAACTTTTCGGGTCGCTTATAAACCTTTTGATATTAAATATATTGTAATACTGTAATTTCTGTTTGAACCGGAACAGACTGATTAAAACAATTGTCAAAAGAAAAAATAGCGAAAATTAATTTTTTTCAAATGAATAGGAAAAATGATACAGGTAAAAATTTTAAAATAACTTAAAACACCAACTACAAACTGAACTCACGCGAAAAAAATAATAGCGATCAATTTTGATGATTAAATAAAAAACGAGAAAAACAAAAAATGATCCTAACGGAAGTTGATGTATGGTGCATAAAAATGTACAGGGTGGGCCGTTTATGTTGGGACACTACCTTATCTCAGAAACTATAGGGGATGGAGCCAAAAGTTATATACACAAGTAAATTTTCTTCAATTTATTTGAATGTTGTTTAATAATAATAATAATATTGTTTATTTCCATTAACTTTTAAGAAAAGTGTCGGATAATGTCAACAAGTAAAAAAATATATTAGAACACTAAAATACAAAAAACAGATACGTACAAATACACAAAGTATATCGCACTGAGAGATCGGCATTACTACAACCAAAGTATTCTTCCATAGAATAAAAAACGTTCTTATTCAAAATGAGCTTTAATTTTTGCTTAAATAGATGGACAGGCAATATCTGTCTGACGGACAAAGGTAACTTGTTATATAGTTTTATTGGTAAAATCATAGGGCTGTTAGCTACTTTGGTTAACTTATGACTTGGCACCTGCAAATTGAGATTAGCTCTAAAATTGTAATCTCCATCAATTCTGGTCATGCAATAATTAATTAGATAGATTACCCTTTATGTAAATTATGCTACTTAATATAAAAAGAGAGGGAAACCTTAAAATATTTAATTTTGGGAACAGGGTTCTACAAGAGTGACAACGAGACTTCCACAACGTTGTTCGAACAATACGTTTTTGTTTGACAAAAACGTCACTAGCTCTGGAAGAGTTTGCCCAGCATATAATAGCGTAAGATAAGCAAGATTGAACATATCCGAAATAATACAATAGTAAAAGCTGAATATCCACACTTGACAAAAGTATGCATAGCCAATTTGTTTAATACGTAGTCAATTTGGCCTGTCCAGGACCAATTACTGTCTATGAACAAACTCAAATACTTGAGATCGTTAATCTGATTAATCGATTTATCCTGCATTCTAACCAATAAGCCCTTGTTCAAATCCATAAGCGAAAACAACATCATCCCAGTCTTTGTCCCGTTCAAACAAATACCGTTACGCTCACAATATCGGGTCATACCACTTACTGCCCTAGTGGCCAAGAACGTGAGATCTTCCAAACTCCTAGATGACACTGCCACAGCAGTATCATCTGCATATAAGGAAACATAATTGTCTGGGAAAGAATCAGATATATAATTAATAAATATTATAAATAATAAAGGTCCCAGTATGCTTCCCTGTGGGACACCGTTGGTAAGTTATTTAAATGAGGATCTAATCACTTCTAAGCACAACTCAAAGATCACCACCAACGACTCAATCCAGGAGTAACTATTCCCCCGTATACCGCAATTATTTAACTTATTCAACAACAAATTAATATCTATTAATATCTAAATTAATGTTTTATTATTCTGATCCAGGTTCGAGACTATTTCATTATATAAGGAAACTAAACAGTCTTGGGCAGATAATTCATTGCGAAAACCAAACTGAGAATTCGAGAAAAATTGCCCCTCCTTTAGAAATATATCGAGCCGCACGTAAAAAACACATTTTGAATATTTAAAAAAAACCGATAGAAGTGATATTCCACGGTAATTAGAAATGAAATGGGTATTGTTCTTCTTGTGTATAGGCACAACAATGGAGTGTTTTAAGGTTGAGGGAAATACACCTTCTAAAAAAGACAGATTAATCAAAAAAGTAAAAGGTTCAACTATAAAATCTGCGACACGTTTTATTAATGAACAGGGCATTTCATCGTACCCAGCTGAATCTTTTTTTGTAACTGCGTGTAATGCGTCGAAGTTCAACACCCGTGAAAGGCGTTTTCATTTTTCGTGGGCAAGTATCAACTTTCTTATTTACAGTATAATGATATATTAATTCATTTTTGAATTATATACAAAATTCTAGATATATTTTGTGAACAATGTTCTATACCTAAGGATAACCGTTTTGAATATTTTTAATTTTTTATGTGAAAAATGACATTTGCAAGACTTAAAATATCTGCCAATTTCCATATCTGCCATTTATTGTTTCACTTGAGTAAAATTTTGTTGTAGACAAAAGGGTACGCGAAAAATAAGATTAAAAATGAAATTAGATAAACTTCCAGAAAACATTTTTTTTTTAATGGAAACTACGTATTTTTATAATCTTGTCATTTTTAGCATTAAAAATTAAGGCATTTTTATATAAGGTTGTGGTATGCCTAATATTTTTAATTTTTCAAATATTTGCTTTTAAACATTTATCAATCATATGAGTTCCATATGAGTTCAGTTAGTGCAAGGTGGCTTTGACGGCGTTTGGACGAAACAAATGCTAAAGTGCTGCCACTGTGATTTACCATTTCATAGTTGGTCATGATCTTGCCGATGCGCTTATGGTGAAAGAATACGTAAATGTATGTATGTATTATTTATACACAATAAGACCAAGAATACACGATAACGTTGGTGAATATTTTATTAATGAACGATCAATACTAAACCTATTATTCTGAACCTCCAAATGGCGCACCATACTTGGACAAAAGCTCTATCTGATCCTGTAAATTCCATTTGTTTTTTTATTATTCTTGTTGCTATAGTAATGGGTAATTTTAGCTGAGGTTGTAAATATGGATTTATCTATCCAAATAATATTAGCAAATATATTTTCTGAAAAATGTCTTTCCACAAGATTGTTGCAATGTTGTAATATTGTAATCCCGGTTCTCTAATTTCTGAACTGGACAGAATTTATAGGTCTTCCAGTTGCTTATTTGAAGGCGCGTTCAAAGCGTCGTTCTTTTGACATCTGGATCTAAAGACGCATTTCGGGTTGAGTCTTCATGTTATGACAACGCCTATTTTTTTTTCTTCAACGTTCCATATAATCTAAAGTGTTGGTAGATCCTGTCGAAGATCTTTTTTTCTGCGCGCCGCCGTAATGGAAATTTTGTTGTATAATTTCTAAGAGCCAGGGTCCGGTTTTTATTGTTCGATATGTAATTTTCCAACATATCAATCTATTCCTCTGTGGTAAACATGTAATGTGTCAAAAAATATTTCAATTATGACATGAATCAACAACAAAACACACGTCCAAGGAGGCAGCGTTCTAGCACTTGTTTTGTTTAAACGCCGTCACAGCCACCTTACACTAACTGAACTTATATGGCACCAGCATATTATTTGTGATTTTCCTTGTACTCTGTATTAATATATATCGAAATTTCTTATGAAATCGGTTATTCGAGTCTTTTGTCTACAACAAACCTTACTCAAATGAAACAGTAAATGCTTCCGAATGAGCAGATATTGCAAACGTCAATTTTCGCATAAAAAATTAAAAATGTCAAAAACGGTTACACTTAGGGATAGGACACAAAATATGTCTAGAATTTTGTATAGGTGCTCCATTTAAAATAAGAAAGTTGATACCTGCCCACGAAAAATGGAACATTCAAATAAATTGAAGATTTGACATACCCTAATTAACTTTTGGTTCGATCTCCTATAGTTTCAGAGATAAGAGATCGTGTCCCAAGATAAACGGCCCACCGTATACATATCAAAAACGACTTACTATTGTGATCCAGAATTAATTCGTTGAAGTTTCTACCACTCGGTTCTTGTCCAACGTACTGATGGACAACTTCGGAGCCTAAAAGGTCCAAAGCGATGCCGTAAGTTAAAGGCTTACTACAAGATTGTATGGTAAAAGGTATCGATACGTCACCAACCGAAAACCTTTGGCCATCGATCGTACAAATACTGATTCCCCAATAGTTCGGGCTCATTCTCTTCAATTGAGGGATGTAGGAAGCAACCTTTGATACAAAATAACTGTATTAAATGATTTTTGAAGCATGCGCTCGACTGACCTTTCCATTGGTATTGTCTTTGCATTTCCAGTAAATTTCCTCTATATCTTTACAAAAATCTTGAAATTCGGGAAGTATAAATTGGCGCTTAAATGCTCTAGTTATTAGTCCAATGTTTGGCGATATGATACTGCAAAAATTGCGATAAATTACTCCTCAAGGCTGTGTATATTTTATAGTCTTGCTTAAATATTTTTCCCTAATTAAGCCAAAATTTCGATGCAAAATAAGTTCGCGATAAATAGGTACTTACTTAATTATGTTCAGTTAATTTGTGAGTACTTTTAAATACATTTTATACAAAATACAATATTACTTATTTAATCGCGATAACGCAATGCAAATAACGAACCAAGTTTACCTTTTAAATTGTTCCAAACTCAATTTTTGCGTGTCAATCGAATAACCGTCAACGTTTTTCCGCGTTATTTTTTTCAAATTTTCCATCATTTCCTTAAGCCTAGGGTCGGTTTTTCTTAAACCAGCATTTTTTAACGCCTGCCAAATAATCCAATTTTACAGTGCGATAATGGGGGATGATTTACAAAACACACGCTTACGTTCAAAAATTTTCCCATAGAAAGGAGTTGCGATTTCTCGTTTTGAAACATTTCGAATAAAACATCGTCCGATCGAAGATCTTTGCCCCTACAAAATGAAATATTACTTTCGAAATAATTCCTAGTCATATACAAGAATAACCAAAAATAAAAGAACTTACAAACGTAAATAATTAGTGTCGTGGACAAATGAGTAACGGCGTCTATAAATTAAGAGAAACAAAATAAAAATAAGCCTACTATAGCTGAATTACATTAACGTGTTACCTTTGGCAGTAGTTCTCGTTTAGATTTTGTTCCTGCAAATCACGCGTTGAATCAACTTGCGAGAATTTTTCACGGCAAAAATACTCACATGGCAAACGATATCTGTGCCGTCAGAAGATATACTGAAATTCCTTATACGTTTAAGTGATGAAGCGTTTTTAATCTGTCTAAGAACGTGATTATTATAAATCGTGTGGAGAAAATTCCTGGAGACGGGTTTCATTTTGCCGGCAATCGATCTAATTTCGGGATTTGACCCGGAATGTCAGTGCGTCGACGCAACGCATCATACACCAGTCCGCACTATTTGAATGATTTTTATCTTTGCGTTTTGAAAAGCAATCTAAAATCGATTTTTTCATATATAATGAGGTATTAATATTAATTATATTTGATTTATTCACCTCTCAACATAAAAACTATTTTTTAATAAATTGTTACCTAAAATAGGGTGGACCGAAAATTTGTTAATTTGTATTTATATGGTTGATATGATGGGATGGACTTCATCCATAGCAAGTTTTACCCAAATCTTGGATACAGATATAGCTTTAAAAATAACAGAAGTTAAATTAAAGGGAAATTTTGGATCTAAAATTTAGAACACTGGAATTTGTGACACAATGCCACCTATATCTTTTTTTTAAGTTACTTAGTCCCTTAATCATGACCTGAGAAGTATTTAAATTTACATAAAATTTAAGAATACCCGTATTTGACAAAAAAGCAGATAATGTAGGTGTAGTTCTGTATTAAATTTAGCATCATCTCGCAGAGGATCTAAAAGAACGAGTCAATTTTATCTCCAAAATTTTCTCAATAAAACATTTTGGATTTTTTTTTATAACTGATGCTTTGACTTCTTTGAAACCACTTTATGTAAAAAAGATACAAATTAAGAAAAGAGTATAATAGTATTTAAATATACTTTTCCGCAAATGACAGGAACTATGTACAGAGCCGATAGTAATAAAACACTTTTTCGAAAATTTACTTTATTCACACGAGCCAAACGGAACTGCTGCAAATGATATGATTTTATAGCAAAAAAGATTTTAGTAATAAAACACTTTTTGATTATTCTCCATATTTACTTTATTACACGAGACAAATTAAACTATACAGGTTGGGATTAGGAACGTGGACTTTGTAATAAAACACTTTTTTTGGCAAATTAACTGTATTGACTTTATTACACAATTAAGTATTGTAAAATATATTTTAAGTAATACTTTGGTACGAACATGTATAACTACAAGCCATATTTACACAAAGTTTCACGTAAATTGAACACAAATCATTAATTTTGTACTGGGTATATAATATGACAAAGTTATCAATTATGTGATGGTAGTTAACTGATTTTAATAAAAGCAAAGAAAAAATAACTACAGAAAGTTATAAACAATGAGATCTTAACTCATCGAAATATTAGCATAACAATATGGTTTTTTAACAGAAACGATACTAGTAATATAAAGTTAGGCAACTTGGTACCTTAAGGCAAGCTCTATCTATTGCATGAGTAGTAAAAATCTGTAAATTTTTAAATAGTAAAAAGTTTCTAAAAATAACGCTTGAGCCAATAACAGTCTTGTCGATGACAACAGTCCTTCAAGTACATTTATTATGTAAATAATGGCATGATATTTTAACTAAAATGAGAATATCACAATTACAGCAACACTAAATTACAAGAAAATATTATAATTAAATATACAAGTTGAATAAATATTTTACAATTGACCATAATGTCCTAGGGAAATGTCTGACGTATTGTTACATTCCTTGCGTTGAGCACCATAGTTAATACAATGAAATTTAACATAAAGCTGGATAAAAATCAATTAGCTATGTAGTTTTTCGATGCTATATTGATTTTCTCTCAACCAAACGCAATTTGCATATCAAAATATCTACATTGCAGTTTCTGAATCAATAGGCAAAGGAGGTTGCATGGTATAAGCAGGTGGTCCATTATTCATAAAAGTCATAGATCTCATACTATTTCGAGAAGGGTTACCCCTTTTCTGGGGAACTTGTGGTGTCGCGTGACTATGATACAACTTAGGGGGTGAATAATTAGCCCTAGCTCCATGAAAATTTGAATAGCTTGACCTCGCTGATGCTGGGCGGTTGTTATAAAGCTCCTCAATATCCTGATTAAGGGAGGTGCTTGATTGTTGATAGGAAGGATTCGTATGGCCAGTATGAGACCATTGCTGAGGGTGCACGTTTGAATAATTTGGGATTGGAGATTCTACAGGGGATTGACTGGTATTGCTTTCATAGGCCTGGCATTTCTGTTGCTGTTCTAGTAACCTAGTCACTGGATTTTGTGTTCTTCGAGAACTCCTGGTAGACGAGCGGTTTTGCGACAGCCTTCTAGTACTAGTACTATGCCGTCCTGATGATCCTCTTTGCATGACACTGCGTCTTTTCACCCTGCGCGGGGTCATGGGTTTTGGAGAAGATGGCAAGTGATCAAAATCATTGTCACTGTCCCCATGCCTGTCCAGCTGAGTGCTGAATTCGATGGAGTAAAGAGACATGCGTTGTTTTGTGTTTTTTCTACTTGATTTATGCGACGCTGTTAAAAATTGTTTGTCTTAGTCATATAAAGGTATTCACACTCAAATAGAATCCAAATTACTAGTTTTAGTTACAATACATGCAGAACTTCATGCAGAAGCTGTAGTCCATATAACAATACTTCAACCTCAAAATGTTTACTGCAAATCAGGGAAAAAAGCATTGGAACACAAAGATTTAGGACGGCTTGTTTCAGATTTGGTAGCGGGAGCAAGAGCATCAAAAGAGTTGCTTCGTCTAAATGGCACCCTTACAGCATCTCCATACACGCGGGTGTTAATCTTTTTAGAGCGAACAAAGTGATTGTTAAGGGTGCTGGGCAATTTGGACATTTCATTTCTGTTTTTCACTTTAGAATGCAAGTGCTTATTGGAATGGTGCAAATTGTCACTGTAGCTCACATACATTGGTTGTAAAAGAAAATTATCAGGCCCATCTGCTTTCTCGAAATTAACTGAAAAGAAAGATACCACCAATAGCAAAACTACAATAATTCGTGAAATTAGAGAGTAAACCACTCTAATAAATTTTATTATTCACCATGCTGCTAATTAACAAGTCATTTGAATGGTTTAACCCTGAATTAGTTAATACTAAGACACAATAACCTAAAGGATATCATCAAAAATGCAGTAAAGGTTCGCATAAGGAAATGCATTCCCATATACCGCACTTACCAAATGGTTTGAGGATCAAATCCACCAATGAAATCGACTGCAAGCATAGTTTTACTATAGGTATGAGTTTTGATTACAAAATGCACAATTAATAATACCATTGAAATATTACCGCAAATTTAAACATTCCCCTTGAACCGATTCGTGTCTTTGCAGTGATATTTCTAGTTTAGATAAACTTTTGTAATCAAAATTTTGGTGCTATGTAGTTAGTTAAGTGATGATGAGCTACCAGATTAGTGAAATATCATACTTACAGGTGTCATCTTCTTCCAAAAATGTTCTGCTTAAACAAACGCCTACCACACAGCTAAACATCTATAAAACATAAAAATACTTTTATTCTCTTTCAGACTATATTGATTTAGATCACAATGTAACAAATTATTTTATTTAACAAAAATAATTCCCTTATTCTCTGAATCATAGTTAAGGCATGATAGGGATTATACCACTGACATCATAAAAGCAGACCCAACAAATCAACATAAACATTTCACACATTTAAAATAGGGATATAGATATGCCATATGCAGTTATAGCTGATAATAATTTAAAATTAAATCACCTTGCATATTTCAAAAACACCGACAAGTAACGGATATAGGATGTTCTGCAGCTGAGCTACAGTTACACTAGTTGATTCTAAAAGTATATTTCCATAAAGACGAGTAGCTAATAATAAATGTGATATGTTCGATGCAGGCTTGTGGGGTCTCCTTCATTAAATGGTATCTTATACTACATAAAAAAGATAGGGGTACTTACAGCAAAAAAACATTGCAACCCAGCGTGAAATACTTCAATGTAGATATAATCCAGAAAGCATCCCTCATATACAAGAGGTATTTCATCTACATTAACAATTTTGCAACCCGGTCCTTCTTTTTTCCACCAACTATCACTAGTTGGGTCTAGCTTGAGCACCTTATTTGTCTAGAAAATTATTAATATCAATCCACATTTGTTCGCGACTTAAAATAAGAAAAACTCACGTCGTGATCTAATCCAGCTATATTTAAATATAAACAAATCAAGAATGTATTCCAGGCTATCCAAAACAGATGCCACAATAGGTACTAGAAATAAATGATTCAAATATTTGATGAAGAAAAATTGAACGTCTTACAGCAATAATATATTTTGGTCGATATTGATAGGCCCCGAAAAATCCAAAAATAATAAATATTATTTGGAAAAAATTAACCAATATTGGCACCCATAGAAACCCCAGAAAATCGAAAACTTGCCTTTCGACGACCGTTATCTGAAACAATAATTATGCAGCTTTCAAATGAATCAACTAATTATATTAATCATTACCATTTGAAGAACACATATTGTTAAAAACAAATGCCTTCTCGTACAAAATCCCATGTCATTAGGCCCCAGAGATAATTTCTTAATAGTTATTTATCCGTGATGTCATTGTAGAATATCTACATGTTCCTTAGATACTAAATCACTTTCGTTTAAATAACTTCTTGCACTTTAACAAAAAACACTTGTCACAAATGTCAGCCATTGTTATAAAACAGACAGGTAAGCGTTGGTAAAGCAGGTGAAAATAGAGGGAGCTCTATGGGAATTCTGTAATTGAGAGTATTGTTGGTTGACTATCATCGCACAAAGCTACACCCCGGGGATTTAATGAGTTTGTAAGCGTAATAATAACCAAAGTTACAATAATTATAATAGGAATAATAATAAAACGTTTATTAACCCAAAGAAATAAAATTAAAATGAATAAATGAGAGGATAAATAGGTTAAAAGGCCGCAATTGCAGCTTCCTAGGAACAAAAAATCTTATGAAAGTGTTACAGGATCTCCTTCAGACTTGCACTTGAAAAAATTGTACGCAATCAAAAATTGCACAGTTGTAACAGTTTTTTTTTAACTCTTATCGGTTTGGGAAATTTAATGTTTCATTGAGTGAGGTGTATTCCTAAAATCTGATAAGATATCCAAAAAACAAGGCTACTTTTACTTTACAAGCGTGAAAAACTAACGCAATTGTCAAAGAAAAAAAAACGAACACAATTATTTAATGCCAAATTATTTGGTATCCTAGTTATCCACAGAAGCGTATAATATTGAAGTACTCAATCAATTAGCATTAGCGAAAAGAATGTTTATTTAAAAATTATTTTGCGGCATGGAAAACTAAATTAAAATCTCAGTTACAAACAGAACGTTTGTTTGATCGTAGTACAATTGAGTTCTTATCCGTGGTAAATAGTTTTTGTTTTCAGATTATTATCCGTTTTTATTATATTGTCATATTTATCACAGCGGTCTTTTAAAGATAATAGTTTCTTACTGTAGGCTCGGGTGCACGTCTTGATTTTTTTATCGGATTTACGATGAATACTTGAGTTTATTTTACGTTCGCGTCCGTATGTAAATAAAATTTCGAAAATGTATAGCAATAACGAAAGAACGGTGATAGCGTAAGTCTGATTTTTGGAAACATACACCAAATAGTTAGAAAATATGTTGCAGGATGAATGAAAATAACAATTATGGATCGGTGGGAAGAAACCTTGAGAGGTCCAGTATTACAAGTATCACTACACCAAAGAGGGTAATTTATTGCGTCCATGGAAAACCCAGTACTGGATGTTGTACGGTTTCAGAAGGGGAAGTGGTGAATGTGGAACCTAGTGATTCTAATATCAGCAATTTTGCAAAGGAAAATACGGATACTACCGAGTTAGGTAAGGAACGATGATTTTCGGAACGTTTTTTTTTAAACTTTTACACTTTTAGTTAATAAACATTGCCATAGATCTTCCGCCCCTTCGGTCGATAAAAAAGCAAGAAAAAAATTAATACTAGCCAGTATTCTGTGTGTTATTTTTATGATTGGGGAAGTTATCGGTAAGTACAACTCTAGTTCGAAAACAAATCCCAGTTATTTATAGGGAAAAATAATATGTGTCTGTCCATCAAATTTAATAAGATTCAAGGAAGAAAAACAAACTAAGCGCACTGCTTATCAATCTACGTGCAATGATTAATAGGCGTCGAGATATTTATTTTTCATATACTTAGATACAATTCCTGCAATTGGCCAACATATAATTATATTATTTAAAATTTGATATTCTGTATAAATTGCTTCATTAAGCAGACCGAATGAAATATTTAAAACTATAAAAAAGAGAAAATTCCACCAGACTTCCAGACATGAATTTAGTACCATAATAATTTAGAAAGTACATGCAATAATTATTTTATTTGATACCATAGTGAGACAGGCTATTTCTTAGTTTTAACGTGGTTTTTTAGGAAGCTTAGGTCCCAAAGCGTTCTTTGCCTTTATGCCACCATCTTTATTTGAATAAAATTTTTCACTAAGAAAAAATTAGCAATTAGCATTTTTTTTAGTTCAAATAGAAGTAAAATAGCTTAGCAATTCAATAAAGTTAAATTTAAAAGTGAATATGAACTAGCCAAGAAGCTAATTGTCTAATTCATCACATTGTTATTAGATTTAGATTGATTTAGAGTCTTATCATGTCATTTACATTCATTGCATTGTTTGCAGTTTCCTGCAAAACTCCGGTTTGACTATATTTAAGGTATATTAATATGTTTTTGCAGGTGGTTATCTGTCGAATAGCTTAGCTATAGCTTCGGATGCGGCTCACCTCCTAACAGATTTTGCCAGCTTTATGATCTCATTATTTTCGTTATACATGGCTCACCGACCATCGACGAAGCAAATGTCATTCGGGTGGTATCGTGCCGAAGTCATAGGCGCCCTTACTTCGGTACTAATGATTTGGGTTGTCACAGGAGTGCTGGTTTACATAGCAATTCAAAGGGTCATTTATGAAAATTTCGAAATTGATGCGCCTGTGATGCTGATCACTTCAGGAGTGGGAGTGCTCGTAAATTTAGTGTGAGTTGTAATATTTCGGTTAAGCTCTAGCTATACGTACAGACATATAAATACGGTCCTGTTAAAAAATATATAAAAACCTTAGCTTTTAATTTTTCTCGAAGTTATTTGCTGTCTTCTCGATGAAATTCCGCATGTTGTTTAAGGCCACGAATATAACATGCAATTACACGAGTTTTTGCGGGTGTAAGTTTTTTACGTTATACACAAAAAGGAACGTATTAATCTTAAACCTTTAAAAAGCCTCCAACACCAATCAACCAGTCAACGGTCTTATCTGTCTAAAAAGCTTGTATCTTTTAGGGAGCTAAATAGTAATACAACATAATTTCAGCATTATTTCATATGTATATATTTATAAAGCTCTTAAATTAATCAATAGGTTTCCAGCAATGTTTTCATTTAATTACAAAAAAGTGCCAAAAAATCTGTATAACAATTCTTTATTATAACGATATGGCTTGTATAAAGATTGAGAATCCGATTACTCGGGTGGATATATGTCCTTGTTTTTTTTTGTTAGTCTATTGATATTTACTTGTTAGTGTGTGGTTCCATTTTTAGTACGTTATTTGCTTGAAATATCCACGAGTAATGCTTTTTTTATATTTCATAAACAAGTTTAAATTTAAAAGCCTATTTGGGTGATACTTGGCCAATTAAATTTGTCGTTATTGAATTGCAATTTTTCCTGCTTTTTGGACAATGAAGACACGATAACGATCATATTAGTAATACAAAAACAACATTAATTGCAAACTTCTTTAGATTTTTAAATCTTATATTTTCTTGGTCGTATTTTTTTTAGAATGGGGTTAACCTTACATCAGCACGGACACTCTCACAGTGGTGATTCAAACCACAGTCACTCCAACAAATCCAAACAAAACATTAACGTTAGAGCGGCATTTATCCACGTAATTGGAGACTTCTTACAAAGCTTTGGAGTCTTAGTAGCCGCCATTGTGATTTATTACGAGGCAAGTTTTATATTCCGGACCTGTGATCGACACAATTTAGTACCGCCTGATTTTGTTTTTTTTTGTATTTGTAGCCTACTTGGTCAATGGTAGACCCAGTATGCACATTCATATTTTCCGTATTAGTCGTAATAACGACATTTGCGATTATTAAAGACGCACTTTTGGTGCTTATGGAAGCTTTACCCAAAGGAATTGATTTCGAGGAAGTCATGAACATCGCTTTAAATATAGAAGGCGTTAAGAGGGTGCATAATTTAAGAATATGGGCTCTGAGTTTAGATAAAATTGCAATGTCGGCACACATAGCTATAAGTAAAATTTAAGGCCGGAGAAAAAAAGAACATCAGCACTAAAGTATTCTTGTAGGTCCGGGAACGAATCCTCAGAACGTGTTAATGGAGGCGACGAAAAAAATTCACGACAAGTTCAACTTTTTCGAAATGACGTTACAGATCGAGGAGTTCCAAGAAATCATGGAGGATTGCAAGCAATGCCAGAATCCGTAGATTATTTTCCGGGACTTGGACTATATTTATTTATGTTAATAAACATTTTTTATCCACTTTCCGCGTATTTGTCAAATAAAACTCCAAAAATAAATAAAAAATACTTCTATTTCATATATATAAAAATATTTAAAATAAATAAATTGTCTTTTAATATAATTTAAATTACACGACTGAGCTATTATTGCTACACTATTTAACAACACTTTTCTACGAAAGGGTCCACCTGCTTTGGAAGTCCATCTAGAACGCGCAATTGTGAGATGCAATTTTACAGCTCAACGAATTACAAACAACAATATCACAAGTTTTCTTCTATAACAAATATTTCCTTAGATCTTTTGCTTTTGGACCCCGAAGAAATACTACATAAAAATTAACAAATTCTATCTGAGATTCAGGTTGAAGTTCTATAAAATTCAGTCAGGATTTAGTTTAAAAGCTAGATGGCATCGGCTTCATATTGGCTACGGAACTCATCCTTCGCACTTTCATACCGGCGAGTTTTCTTTCGATATCCGCTAGACTCTGACCTCTGGTTTCCGGCACTACGGCTATAACGAACACCAGCCCGATTGCTACCACACCTCCGAAGATCCAGAAGGTGTAATGGAAACCGATCGCATTAGCTAACAGCAAGAATATCTTGGTTACTATAAAGGTGCACGTCCAATTAAAAGCTGTAGCTACGGATGCCGCCGGACCTCTGATTTTAGCCGGTAAAATTTCACCCATCATAAGCCACGGTACTGGTCCAAATCCAAGAGAGAATCCCAAAACGTAAACGATGAAACTGATCAGCGGCAAGAGACCAAACGGTTTCACATCGTAATGGATGGCATCTTTAAGGAAGAAGTATACTCCTAGGACACTTAACGATAGCACCATGGAAACGCTCGAGATGTAGAGAAGGATTTTGCGGCCCAATCTATCCACCAAAACGGCAGCGATGAATGTTGAAATGAAGTTGACGATTCCAACTATGGTGGTCGATATAGCTTCGTCCATATTGGATCCGGTTTCTTTAAAGATTTTGGTAGTGTTGAAAATAACAGCGTTAATGCCGCTAAATTGTTGGAAACCCATCAATCCTAGCATTATTCCCAAAAGTTTCAGGTTGTTCTTGGAAAACAATACGGTCACGCTAAACTTATCTTCGTCGGAATCTTCTTGGCTCTTTTTCAATTCGTAAAATTCTTTGTCGATATCAGAAGAAGGACCGCGTAACCATTTCAAAGCCTCTTTCGTTTCTTCCTCTTTACCCCTCGAAATTAGGAACCTAGGGGTCTCCCTTATCACCCAAAATACTATCACAAACGGTACTGAAAGAATGACTCCTACTAGTGCTAGTGCTTGCCATTCGTAAAATGTACCGAACAGGTAGCAAAGCAATATACCGATGTTGCCAAAGGCGGTCGGTAATAAACCTAAAGTACCGCGTACTTCCGGTTGAATTGTCTCCGCTAAATAAACAGGAAGTGTCAATGACAGTATGCCGACACTCAGTCCTGATAATACTCTACAAATGTATAGGTACACATAATCTTGTGCCAGGAAATTTGTTAGGAACGCGACCAAAAACATAATGTCCGTCAGCAAAATGGTCCATTTTCTTCCTAAGTTTTCTATCAAAGTACCACCAACCATTCCTCCAGCTAAACCACCCAGTGGCATCAAACTGGTAATCCACGATAACTGCAAACAAAATACAATCCCTCGTTAGTCAACGAGCGGTTTCCTTTCGGTTTTAAGACTTACTTTAGTGGCATCCAGATCAAAGTCCCTTTCCAATGATATGGCGGCGGGGGAGGTATAAGCTGAACAGTATCCGATTATCATGGAAACCCAAGAAACCGCGATCGCGGTTAACAACTGTAACAAAAAGAAATTTCTATTTAGCACTCAAATGTTCATTAAACTCGCGTGAATGGAAGCACCTGAGACCAAGTACATTTTTGTTTAGGTTCGTTATCCGGCAAAGAAAACGTTACGTGTGTATCAGCTCGAACTAACACTCTCATAGTTCTTAATTCACGCACTCACAGACGAGATATCGTTTATTAATAAGTAGCGATTCAGTAAATTGCCACGATGATTGATCAAGACAAATAAAATAACTATTTATTTAGTCATTTGTGGCCACAGTTTTATAACATTTCGTGTACCCCCTCTAGAGACTCTTCTTATTATTCGTCACACGAATCGTATTCGGTTGTCCTTATTGCCGTAAAATTTCCTGTAATAATGTCCATAACACCATTTAAGGACGATTTTATTATTTTATTGATGATTTACCGTCAATTTTCATTAATATTACTTGCACATACCCATCTATACTCGGCAAAAGCTTATACCCATCGTTCTGCATTATTCCAAGAAGTACGGCTCAAAATTTTTCTATCTCACGAATAAAATAATTAATTTGGTACGTTCTCAACTCACCTCTGAACTCAGAATTTTCACCCAATGTTTATTACAGTATAATTTTTAATAAATTTTGCTAGTTTCATGAAAATTTAGGAGAGGAAGAATAATAATAGCGAAAATAATCTTTCAGTTTCAGTCAAGCTCTGAAGAAGCCAACAGGATGATTGGCGAAACGTCAGCAAATTCGACTCAGCAAAAACCGACGCAGGAGCAATCCAGAAGTATTGTAAAAAGCCAAAATAATCCACCAAAATCTCGAAAACTGAACATCATATTTATATTTGTTAGCTTGAAATTTTGAATTCAAGAAATATGTACGTAATAAATATATCTTATATTTTCGAATTTTCTAATAAACGGACAAAAAGGAAACAACCTGTGTTTCCGTTTATGAGGGAAGCAAATAGCATAAATAATTACCAATGCCGTAATTATGAAATAAAAAACTTACGAAAGGCAAAAAATTTCTCAATTCAAGAAAAATGAAACATTGCAATGTCTCTAATGATAAAACGCTGTAACAAGAGTACTTTTATTTTTAAAAAATTAATAACATGCGCATACGCATTAAGCAAATGCATTTTTCTTCTTTGCTTTTGAAAAGTTGACTAGAGGTCGTATTAAATAATTACGTAATTATTTATTGCAATTCACTAAAAGTCAAAATTACGTCTATAACATACATTCTAACTATCCTGGAAGTGATTTATAATTCCCTACTTTAACAATCTTTTATCTTTGGAAAAAAACTTAAATGTGCTATGCAAATACAAGCTGATACTCTTATCTATCCCAGACTGCATTAATCTGTTTGCATTATTTATTTAGTTACATTTTTATTTCATCCAACAAGCAAAGGACCCTGACAAAGATATCCATTGCCAAAAGAAATGTGAACAGAACCACAATACGGCAAAAATTGTATCTAAAACAGGGTGAAACAAATTCATTGGAACGGAAAGGACTTTAGAGATTGAAGAAAAACGTTAAGGAAATCGTCAAAGCTGCGAGAAAATGAAGAAACGAAAAATATAATCACCTGGATTTTAATCTCGCCGAAGCTGATGTTTTTTCCCTTGGTCTCCTTCTGGAGTTCGACATCTTCGTCTATCTTCTTTTGGAGTGGTTCGATTTCAGGTATTGTCGTCTTTAGATTTTCCTGCATCCTTTTGGTGTTGCAAATTGTTGAATTTGATTGAAAATCTCCAAGAGACGATAGATTGGTTGCTGTTGTACACGTTGACATACACGGACTGTCTTGAGCTCGCAGCTTCTGGTGTTGTTGTCCATTCTGTAAACAAAAGATTTTTGATTAGGATATGACCTTAGGTCATGGAAAATATTTATTGAGTGCTATCCCGGAATCGCGTGGACAGATAACTTAATGGATTTGCGTCAATATTGTTTTCAACGTGACTTTCCTTACGAATTTAGATCGTGCTAAAGCCATATCGGGTCAGTTTCATCGCGTGGAACACACTTTGACCGAAAAAATTTTAAATCCTAGTATCGCCCAAAATTTTGTGTTTACGAACCTTTGGATTCGAACGAATTTTGCGGCGTCGAGCGGAGAGGGAGGACTTGTTTTCATGCAGCTTGAAGATTAAATTAATTTCTTTTTTCTCCTTATCCAGTTTTTATATTCGCTAAAGTGCAAAACTTTTGGGGTACAACGTTTGGAATTTTTTCTTAAATGAAAACAATATTTTCCTTTCAGGACATCTTTCAAGTTTAGAAGGAAATATGATTAATTGCAGAGGAATGAATTGTAATCGATTTTTTTAACTAGAAGTGCTTTTCTGATGCGTTAGATTGTACGAGCTGGTTTCCAATGTAATGCTAGACAAGTTCTACAAGGCTTTTTTACACTCGTTCTAAAAATATATTGTCCTACATGAATTCCCATTCGACTTACGCCAATATTTTTTTAGATCACTTTCGCTGATTTTTTAAAATTTAATCAAGAGCGTATTTACATGTTCTTAACAAGATTTTACTGCTTATTTCAAGCGCAAACTACCATATTATATTTAATGCTGCGCTACTTGTTTTATCAATTATTAAAAATGTAATCGCACAATTTCGCAAATAAGGTCAACCACATACTGTCGCTGTAATATCCAACTGACATCTCTTTACACAAGGTCTACTATTAAACGCAGTTGAAAATCGTCGCTGATGGTGTAAAACGATAGCAATTTTCTCTACGTGAAAGCGATTTATTCTCACGCTGTAAAGCAAAGATTTAAGCGAAACAAAAATAAATCTTCTATAGACGTTAATCAAAACAAGCTGTATTTTGTAGTGCAAACTTGCGTTGAAAACATTAGCAAAGCTTGAAAATGTGTAACGCATGATAGGGCATATTTGATTTTACAACAACCACATCGGATTTACCTCATTTTGGAATTATCTGGACTCGTTCTAGAATATTCCGATAATTTATCTACATATTTCGACTCGATTATGTTTTTTTTATATTTTCGGTGAAATTTATTTGTAAAATCATCGCATGTGAACGGTGGAATTTTGGAAAAATCAAGATTTTGCCGTATCGCGTGCAATCGATACAAGTTACTCCATCTGAATGGCAAACGCTTGTAATACACAGGCGCACGGGCCACAATCTACGTGTAGGCGCGTCAGCTGTTTGAAGAATATTCTAGAATACAAAATCGTGACTGTCATTGTTCCATCGTTTACGAATTTGGTGGAAAAAGTATCGGAAATTTCACTTTCTACGTGAAATGCCAGAGCTTATGAGTTTCGGTTTAAGGAGTCTGCAATGTATCGGCTCTAGTCGATCGTCTCGCCGCCAGAGAGCGCGTTATTTTTTGAAAAACAGAAAAAAATCTAGATCACATTTTTTTCCCAGCTTATCAATATCTTGAAAAATTTGTGCCACATTACTTAACGATTACTACCACCATGTAGTACGCTGCGAGTAAGCCAAATTAAGATTAAGTGTTGGTTTAATTAAATAAATATATATATATGTATGGGGATATATAAATTTTGCACTTACCCAATTTCTGGGGACCCATTGTTGTAAAATAGCGGTAGTCCAATCGGATGCCGAAGGGATACTGCTTTTAGAGCTTATAGGAACCCTGTAATATTGTCCTTTATCAGATTTGGTCATAATCACAGTTTTTTCATAAAAAGCGAACACTTATTTGAACTGAACAATAGAAAACAAATACGAAAAAGCCGGTTATTTGTTTATTTATAACGCGTCAACGATTTACGCGGCTATGTTTTAGGATACGACTGTATATAGCGGAATGGAGTAAGAATAAAGCGGCTTGCAGTTATATAGTATTTATACCTCTGCGCGGTGCCGAACAGCGTGTATTTCGGACTACCTATTTGGATCATTTATACAAAAAACTAATCCCCATCAATGCCTGTGGAACAAAAATTTCGGTACGTTCGTAGTAACGTATCAATAGATTTTAGTACAAATTGCCGGTAAAATAATTTTTTTAAAACTTGTCAATTTTAAACGCATCCTTAACGCAATAAAATTAATTTAATAGCCCTTAATACAGTCAGATAGACGCAATTCCACTAATAATCATTTCGTAAACAATTCATTTGCGAGGTAAAACTTTATTGCATCAACATTAATTTTGATTGACGCATTCGGGTTTACGATAGTCGTTTCGTTAAATAAAAAGGGCCAAAAGGACCCGACAAATACGTTTGGCCCATAAGGAGCACGTGACTTTCTTCTCGTAGACCATCATCGTGGTTCTTGCCCAACCGCGAGCTTTAAATAAACAATTTCTTACAGCACATAGATTTTAAATTAATTTAATTTAAACAACAAATATTATTTACAAGAGGTTAAAAATTGCCAGGGAGTTCGAAAACGGAACACAAAATCATTTGTACGTAACAGCATCACCGGCGAGTGGAATTTTCCATCAGTCTCTTTCGAAACATGATATGAGATGGCAGACACAGGATCGGACTTCGCGTGGATGTGACTCGACATAAATTGAAGTGATGCCAAAACTATGATTCGCTAAAAAATTAACGGATTTCGAGTCAAAATTAAATTTCTTAATTATATAGATTGCGGTTAGTAATAATTTGTTTTGAGTAAAATCAAAATCAATCAAAATTTTCAATCACACACGGAGGATATTGGCTCACTTTTCGATTATCCGAGATCATTTACATAAATAGGGATTGTACTTCTCCGCTACAAACTTTTTATTTTTGTAGGTTTGTATACGATTGTAAAAAGCAAAAATAGATTTTTTCAATACATAACTGATTTCGGCTGGGTAAAATTTTTCCCTTTAATTAGAATAAAAATTAGACCTCTTAGTTTTATAGGTAGCATTAAATAATAATTTATTATAAAGTAGACTCAAATTTTGTCCTTAGGAAACTAAGAATATTTGTGAGACCGAAAATTTCAAAACTTTCTAAGAAGAGGCCTTTTTTTACGAAAATTACACACTTACTGCATCACACGTTTATTTTATTTATTTATATTTCTCGTAATAATATTACCTTAAGACAATACCCATGCTAAGGAATTATGAATTCACTTTCATGATTTGGGTAGAGCAATTTCCTATAGTCATACAAAAGATGAGAGGTAAGATAAAACTTTGACAGACAAATTCCAGATAAAGTAACAACTGAAACGCAAGAGGAGATAAGCACCGAAAATATTTAACGCGCAAAGACGTTAAATAACATCGGAACAAATTAAAACCTACGGTTCTGATATTCCAGATAAATCCTTAAATCGGCGATAAAACGTTACAAATTCGCTCCTATGTAGTTTAATTGGAAATTTTCTACAAGCTCAATCGCGCTGATATAATATATATAAACCGTTAGTTTTTCACCACCGGTATGGTGTTGACATAATTCTCATGTCCGAAAAAAAAGGGTACGTGATTAAAAAATGAAAATAATTCGTTAAGGACTTTTCCAAAAAGATAATAAAGCGTCTTATCTGTTTAAATAAAACTTAACCCCGGAATTAAAATGTTAAGGCGAATCTTCAAATAATTACGTATCTGAGGACGTTTCATCCCTTAGATTTTTACAAATATGAGGGCGTTTAATGCGTTTAAACTCTCATGGCAACCAATTAGTCAACGACAGCAGACTCAATG